TTCAAGCCGCTTGATCTGTAAATCAGCCCAGCGAAAGCGCCTGCTCAATCACCCGTGTCAATCATGCTGTATAGATCTGTTTATCGGGACAACTTACCGTTCTGGAATGTCAAGCAGTTTCTTCAAGGTCCGCTCTTTTATCGAGTCGTCCCATGCACGCAACCTGCCGTGGGAGACTTGAGCCCGGACAAAAGTTTCCACATCTTCTGCCAATCCAGCCTCCAGATTCACGCTTTGATATTGTTCCAGCCTTGAGCGTATATCAGGCTCTGGTCGGCTGGTAGCCAGAATATGCAGTTTAGTTCGATGCTTTTTCAATAGGTCTTCTAGAAATGGCAGAAGCAATCCCCGTTCGCCATTTTTCGCGGGGCACTCATCCAGAGCATCAAGGATGAGGAAGAACTGACCCTCAAAGGTTTCCAATACAATGTCGAGAATCTCTGCGAACTTTTGCTGGTGTGGGTTACTACCTCGATGGCGATGCTCTTCCCAAAGTTTGACCATAGATGCAGGGAGTGTTTTTGGCATGAATTGTCGTATTATGGACCTGGTCATATTGTACACCTTCTGTGTTTCGTCATTGCTGAACTGAAAGTACCAGTAGGCAAACTGCCGTGATGAAAAAGGCTGGCAGTGTTCCTCGATATCTTGAATGACTGTAGAACAGAGAACCGATTTTCCGCATCCGACTTGCGCCAAATGTCAGTTTTGATTTTGGTGAAGGATTAGAGAAGCGCACCTGCTCCATAAAGCCAACAAATCTTCCCGGGCGTGGCCTTCCATTCTTTGTATTCGGGCAAGTTGAGAAACCAATCCCTCGTGTTTGATGCGCGGGGGTGTTGAGTATTGTTTTGGAAATCGGAGTAGGATGCCGTGGACAGCCAATCGAGGATCTCTAGATCTTGCATGCCTGCTCGAATTAGTGTGCGGCCTCCTCGAAAGGCCATTGCCTAGTAGATTGCTTACTTCTGGTGTGCGATTGGATAATCTTCAGCTTTTCCACCGCTTCATCAATCCCGTCTAGTATGCTTTCGGCTTCTCTCTTGCGGTCTGTAGTAGTCAGCATGCTGCCTCTTGTTGTTCATCCTGACAGAGAGGAGATAGCAGTACCTAGATCTTCCGTAAGGTTTGTCCAGTTCTGAACTGCCTGCGCTTTGCTTTCGATAGTATTCTTGAGATCCTTGAGCGGCTGTTGAATCAGGGCCGTGAAGCTTTTGAGTATGCGATCTCTCAGGCTATCAGTTTCGATCACCATTAGGGAAAATCCCGAATTCGTATTTCTCACCAGCTTTACTTTCTTTTTCTGCCTCTTTAACCTCTGCCGTGTACTGAAGAATTGCTATGTAGACTTCCACTAGAGCGTCTTCCAATCCTCGATTGCTTTCCACCCGACTTTCCCGATAATGGCGGTCAATGATCGCATAGTAGGAGAGATTGCGGGCTAGATACTCGGCTGCCTCGAAGATGTCGTCCCGACGTTGGAAATTGTTTTGTATCAATGTCAGGCCAAATGAAACGACCGACCATGCACTTGAAGCTGGACTGTGCCTTTAGCAGATGTGCAGGCTGAACACCATGGAAGGTTAACTGGCTGGATTGCTCACCATGGCCCGTCGGATCAAACGACACCAATGCCTTGACAAGCTCCTGCGCCTGCAATGCATAGAGAATGATATTCTTGGCGGTTTCGCGGACGTCGATCTGCCCCCCCTCGCGCTTGCGGATCTTGAGCCCACCTTCCTTATACTCGCGGTATTTCTCTTCTGTTGTTTTGATAACGCCCTCGATGGCGTTCGTGATGGGGGAAGCGCTTTCCTGCGCCAGAATTTCGCGGTGTTTCTTGTCTAATCTCTCTCCGGCCACCTCCCAGAGATTTCTTCTTGGGGAATTATCGGTGCTTGCCTCGTCCAGGGAAGAGACACTATGATCGGTCCTCGTGGCGATGCGGTCGTCGTCGTTCGTGCTCGGGGGCTGGGACTGGTCGTCAAGCTTCTTACGGGCATGTCGATCTGGCTTTGTGGATTTGAGTCGAGCGCGCAATCTCCGGAACATTGTGGAAAACTCTTTGAAGGGGGGACTCTTTGTCCAGGGTGGAATCCATCCAAGGAAACAAGACGGGCAGTCAGCCTATCTATTCTCCCGGGGGTGGGTTAGCGAACACCTGGCATGCATACGCTAATTAGCTAGCCTTGAGCACGGCGGCAAATCTCACTGTCTTACTGGTCTGTCCATGTGGTCGACTTTTTCAGTCCTGCGACTTTTGGGGGGTTTTTCTTTTCTTTTTTCTTTTTTTTTTGTGGTATGAAGGACGGATGTCAGAACAGCTCTAGGAGCTGAGACACACGTCCGCGCAGTGCGGGGGTTTGATGTGACTTATTGGGGTGATTCGCCACTTTTAGTATGCACTCGGTTTTCAGGCCTGTTCTCGCGGCCTCAGGCAGCAGTACATCCAACTGGATAATTCTCACATTACAGCCCAGTGCATGCCCTGTGCCCAAAAGCTTTGCAGAAAGACAAAGGATAGAGATTTAGTATTGAGAAATCACTCTTGTACACATTGGATCGAAACCTCTTTCCGCCCCGCAGACACGAGCTTATAATTCTAAACCCTAACGCCAAGGCACTATTTCATGCAGGAGTCTATATTTGGCAACCGGGGAACTTTTTATGGATCAACGACTAGCAGATCATCCAGCTCGAATTCCACCTCCCGCCCTTGGGCCTCCAGCTCCAGATATCCAGGTGCACTCTGCTCGATAATGCGGACCCAGAGGTCCCGACATCCGTAACCCGGAAAGAGGAACTTGTTGTTCAGTCGGGTGGACTCCAAGAGCTCGAGGATGGGAAGGTTCATGTCCAAGCTATATCGATCTTATCAATCAAGAAAGGTCTCAATCAGAAGACGAGAGAAGTCAGCAGCACGTACGGTTCATTATACTGCGGCGGGCCCCCGATCCCCGACTCGGCAATCTCGGGCAGGTCTTTCCCCAGGACCTGCTCGAAGGTCATAGTTTGCCCTATATTCCAGGGTCGACGGAGGGTCGAGATGCGGACGTCGCCATTAGAGCCATACTCTACCAGGGTAAGACGCCCCGTGGCCAGCCCCGGCGCATCGATAACGAACCACGTAAGATCCGGCCCGTCGGCGAATACCACCGTGCCCTGACGGGTCATAGAAATAGCGTGGTAATCCGCCGGGGCGAGATACAGTGCCGGAAGAACCTTGCTGAGGGTAGTAGTAGTAGCTGTAGCCGCCGGAGGGCAGCCAAGCAGCTCTGGAATATGGCAGCGGGGGGCGTTGCCCGCCCCACGGAGGTCGAAGGGGTGCCGCCTGCTCCATTCATCTTGGTGGACGTATAACAGAATAAGAAACTTTACGAGGTGGATGTAGCTGCGCGAATAGGTCTCCCGGTCTATCGGGGCCAAACACAAAAAGCGTTTGTTGGGTCTCGGGGCGAGCTGCGAGAGTACCTGGGCCGGGTAGTCGACAGCCGAGGTGTATCCGGCGGAACGACTATGGTAGGACTGCGGCAGTGTTACCCTTCAATCTTCTTCTTCCTCTTGTTCCACTCATGCTCATTCATGCTGAAGATGAAGCAGGCAAGAGAGGGACAGACAAGAGGATGACAAGAGGAAGAATCTAAAGACTTCGGGGGGTTATACGCACCTCGCGGAACTCCTGGCTTGCGGTAGCCCATTTCTCGATTAGGGCTCGTCGTTGGCGAAGCCCATCTTCGGTAGTTGACGTCGGGTGGGATTCATCCTGCAGCCGGCGAGAAAGTGATTGGAAATCGTCAGTGCGACATATCATGATATAGGGATGTGTGCCTCCGCAGAATCCCCCCTACCCGTACGAATAGCAACCATCCCTTGGCCTCTTCAGCGAGCTCTTCCGGGTCCAAATCTGTCAGATGCAGGCGGATTTGCGGAATTCCCGCCGGCCAGGATACTTCGGACATCCGCTGTGACATTCGGGACTGGAATTCCTGGGTGTGAGAACCGGATTGCGAAGCTTGTAGCGTGAGAAGAAAAGAAGGAAAGGGAAGAAAGGGTCCACAAAAAGGATTACAAAACATTACAATAGTGCACTGTTGATTGTGGGTCCTACCCCGCCCATTCATCTCGCGCCCGAGGGCCTTAATTACACCCGCCATAGGAACTATCACAGATGGCCGATGCGCAATACTCGTCGGTGGATCCACTGCCATCTCGGTCAGCCAGCCTCCGACGGTCATTTCCCCGGTCAGTCACTCAGCAGTTGCAACAGGATCCGAACTGGGAGCCGAAGCACGTATAACCCCCGTTGTCAGCGCCGCAGAGCCTGGGGATAATTTTCATGAAGACGACTTACCAGTCTCCCCAGATAAGATACTGCAGCAATCACCAAAGGCAGATTGCTCACACGTGGACCCCGTAGCTCCGCCACACGTGCCGTCCGTGGCCGTAGCGGCAGAGGTTGTGGTGGTAGACGTGACAGTGGTGCTGGTCGAGGGGCTGGTCGAAGTCGCCGTACGAGAGGCAGACGCAATCGTGGAGGTTGAGCCCGCGGCGGCATCGCCCGAAGTCGAAGCCGTCGCCGTCTCGCTGCCAGTGACCAGGGGGGTGCTCGTATTGAAGGGGATGGCAGGGGTCGGCTGGCTTAGATCCAAGTCACACACGCGATCCCATTCACTGTACCAGGCGGTATCGTAAATCTGATGCGAGAAGTTCAGAAGTCAATAGGACATCAATAATTTTTACGCATGTGGTATCATGTTTTATGATGATCATAGTAAGGTTAGTCGAATTTTACCTCAAGCTAAATTCAAGTTCGTTCGCAGATATGCTTGCAAAAAGAAGGAAGGCAGGGCGCTGAAGATGGCCATATGACTGACAAGATTGTCTATAGTTGATGATCCCGGTTTATTTTGTGCTTGAATGCAGCTCTGGAGTGCGGCGCTGAATCTAGGTTTGAATGCAGTTGTAAATAAAAATCTGCTGGCGAACTATGGTGCTGACTGCTTATGATAGTGTTGAAGTACAATTTTGACCAGGTACTTGTTCATATACATGGTTTGTTTGACACAGTATGTCTGACGAAACAGCTAATAACTATCACCCAAATAAAGACAAATCATCGATTCAACACTCAATCCCAATCAGCTGCAGTGACTCACAGAGCAAGTCCACGCGCCTCCCTGGCTGATCGCGCAGATCCGATGTGGACTGCTTCTCCACACTCCAACTCCCAGGAACTTCCCATGAATCGAATGGTAGGTTCCAACGAGAGGATATCTAGTCATGACGCCCGTCGGGCGCAATACTAGATCGTATCGAATCTGATTGATCCTGCGCTGGACAATGCAGGTCCCACCGCCTGGAACTAACTGCGAGGAGCGCAGGCCCTCCAAACTCGACATCCACTTGGCGGGGTTGATATCTTCGCCAAACACAATCCCATCCCCCTTTCCACTTCGGATCGGTTTGAGGATATAGTCTTTTTTCAGGTCAGGGTCCTGCTTGCAGGATTCGATCAACTGTTCAAGTTCGGCCGAGCCAGGGAGTATTGTATCGGCAATGCCTTTCTCAAGAATCTTCGCCTGCGCGTACGTGAGGATATCTCGGTCTACTAGAGTGTCGAGCTCCTGTCTGACAAGCCCGAGCATTCGCTTGTCGTGGACAAGTAAAACAGTACGCAAGTCATTAAAGCACCGGAGGCTGACTTGGCGGAGCATCTCTGGACTGAGCGCACGAAGCTCCTTTTGGTGCAGCTCCAGGCCCACCTGATAAATCTCTTCCATGGTCTCTCCATCATAAGTAATCAGCGATTTCGCGTGCTCGGTGTTCCGGCCTTCGGTATCTCTTATCACGCAACAGAGCCGGTAGCCGCCCTTGGCTTGTGAACATGGCACGAGCCTGAGATCGGCTGGCAGTACAAAACGAGGGTTGATGCCAAAATGTGTTCTGAGATACTCCACCACCATATGAATATCAATGCCAGGTTCATCCCCTTTGAGAAGGTGTAATGGCAACCTGAGATCGAAAAGCCCCAGAAGGCCACCCAGCATCTGTTCCAGTTCGAAAGTTTAGCTTCTGTAGAACAAACCCTCAAAGAAAGCATGATATCATCCATCATCAGCTCTTACCTGGGCGGGCTCAGTCGTGCCGACTAATCCATTACCTGCATCGCAGATACCCTCCTCCTTCAGCGCCTGTTGCCCACAAGCCGCATACATCATTCCATTGAACGAAAAACGAGCGTTGATTTCACTGATTCGGAAATTCTCTATAGGACCCGGGACACCTTTGCGGCTTTCGTCTTCAACCAGAAAGTCCGGTCTCCACGAGCCGCGGCAGTCACGATATGGCGGGAGGTTACTTGGTACTTGGCTATCAATCCACTAACGGGGAGGAAGGCCACTTAGTATGCCATACGATACAGCACCAGGCAGGGCAACAACCTACGCGGAGAAGCTCTTCTTCTGCTGGTTCCAGAGGCATGCGCTCGGGGTATCTCGACTCTGTGTCCGTCCACCACCTCTCGACGATGTCAGTGATAGCCAGGACCAAAGCCTCATTGAGGTCCTTCCATCGACGCTGATGCACCGCTGAGACAGCGATCGGCCGGGGAATAAAGGCCGACCTCGAGCTCTTGTGCCACGAGTTGCGAGAGCAGAGCCGCAACAGGTTTTCTTGAATGGCCTCTTGATCTTCCATGTATGTCGCTTTGCTCGGGTCAAAGGAGGCTATGGGCTGGAATTGCCCCCCGCCGCGAAAAACATGGACCTGGTGCAGAAGCTCTGATGCTGGAGACTTCATTGCGTGGAGGTATGGGTAAACGTGCTGGGTTTCTTCAGTTGGATGGGTGAGTAGAGTAAGGTAGGAGGAGTAGGGAGCCCTCTTTAAAGGGGCACTTACTCAACCACGACAAGGGCAACTAATTAGAGCAAGGACGATCAGTGGGCTCCCTAGATGAGTATATCACGCGTTGCAGAATCGCTTCCTAAATCGGCCTTCCCGATGCCCTTCCTCGCGGCCTGTCTAGTCTGTTCTTCGGTTCCAGTTTCGTCCTATTGTAAGTTTCTTTGGTTATCCGCAGTAACTTACCAACCCCTGAGTTACGCACGATACTTGATATTGGATTGTAACAAATGGCCCGGTGAACCAGAGCATGTCTGCAGCTAAGTGGAGATTGTTCTCACTGCGGCCCTTTACAATTACATAAGGGCAATGATCGGTTCCATAGTACCGTTAACGCGGTGGGTCTCCCGATTGCCTAGGTAGCGTGAGGGCAAACCACCTCACATCACATAACAGCTTCTGTGAATTTGATTCGTCATTTGCTGTAAATTGTACCTGTCTGATGTATCCAGTGACAGTGTCCCTGGCCTCGCATGAGCTGGACGTCTCACCGTCTCGATCACCGCGTTTTGATTAATGTCTCCTCCCAGGTAGCGGAATCCACCCCGCTTCAAGCATCTCTCCTTGTTTACTGCCCGGCTGTGGTTGTCGACTCATCAGTCTAGAGCAACGTCAATCTCACACTGGAAAATAATACCAAGAGCAGGATTCGATCAAACTAGATCGTGTGTGCAGATCGTTTTGGGGTTACAGAGACTATGGATATCACATGCAATAGCTTCGTCAGGTGCATCTAGTTGCCTGGTAGAGCTTCTGCGAGGCTAGTCGTGGGGAGTACAGCTGCATCTGTACTCCGGAGAACTGCAGGCTCAGGGATCCATATATTCTCGGTGGCGATGGGCCACTCGAAATCTCTGGAGTAGCTCCCTCCAGCTATTGTTGATGATTCTGAACACGGATAGAACGAAAACCAAGCCTGGAAGCTCAAAACATGCGCCTTGCTTCTATATCTGATTAGATGGTATGTTTTGTCACTTGCAGGCGGAGAGGGCAACATCATCGTATGAGTGTGCGAAGCCTAGCGCTGAGTTTGAATGCCCTTTCTGCCCAATCCGCAATTCCTGCCCTCTGAAGTTCACTCTGCACATTCGTATATGTAGCCGTCGTACCTCCTGCCTCTCCAAGTTCTCTTTCTGCCGCTGATATATTGCCGTAGCAGCTGGAGAAAGATCTTTGCATCAGGGTAGTCCGGCGCCGTGTTTTCCTGCTTCCGTTTCTCCAAGAACATATTCGCTCGTTGAAAGTCTAGTTCTGGCGCAGACACATTTCCCCCCAAACATGTGGCAGGCACTAAGGAATATCAACCTCACCAACCCGGCAGGTTCCACTGGCAGTAAGTCAATCATAACTGCTAAAACCATGGCATCGCGAGAATGTCAAGACCGATTTCTGATGTCACAACCAACAGCGTTATTATCACGCGGCCTGCCGCACCTGGTAGCGACCGACCTCGGCTGTGCCAACCGCCCAAGACACCTCGCCGAGGTGTCCAACTTGATGCGGAAGAACGGCATCCTCAAAGTGAGCCTGCAATTCGAGGACGACTCCAGCCGGTATCTCCAGCGGCTGGTCCAGGGGCTCCACGACCACTACGGCCACGGGCTGCCCATCACCCACAGTGTCTCTCGCGGCTGGTTCTGGGACGTCCGACCGAGTCGGACGACGTTCCAAACCCCGTCGCATCAGGCACGATCCGAGACCATGGAGGAGTTCCCTTGGCACACTGACTGTAGCTACGAAGACGCCCCGCCCCGCTACTTTGCCTTGCAGGTTCTCCGCGAAGACCGGTGTGGCGGGGGCACACTCTCCGTCATGAACGTCGAGAGGATCGGTTCGCTCCTTTCGCCGTCGACCTGCGCGGCGCTCCATCGGCCCGAGTTCCGCATCGCCGTGCCCCCGGAGTTTGTGAAGTGCAGCACGAAACACGACACGGTGGGCAGCCTGATGGCTGCCGACGCAGAGGGCTCGCACTGGACGATCCGCTACCGGGAGGATCTGGTCACCCCTCTGACGGCCGAGGCCGCGCTGGCGCTGCAAGAGTTAAAGGAATGTCTTCACGGACTGAGCGTGCAGGGTGAGCCGCTGCATCTGACGCCGGATACGCTCCCGCGGGGCTCGGTGATCCTCATGGATAATTTTCGGTGGCTGCATGCTCGGAACCAGGTGATGGATCCTGAGCGTCATCTGCGGAGGGTGCGGTGGGACGCGAGGCGCTTCCCGTCTAGTGTGTTGTCCCGTATTGATTGAGCCATCATCCATGCAGTGATTTTTGGGGTGGCCAACTACGTACAGTAACTGCGAATATCACGAAAGGTGGTACTGAAGGCACTAGTGCCGCCGCCGCTGCTGCTCCTCAGCATCAGCAGTTCGGAGACTTTTGGCTCTAAATCTAGGCAGTCGTTCAGGAGAAGCTTTTTACTTAGGCTGAGGTCAGGTGAGGAGAGTATTCAGTTGTCTGAAGGGGTGGAAATCCTTTTCTCCCCATCAGAAAACACGAGCACGAATATAGGAAACCGTTATTCCACAATCAGTCTCGTAGTACGGAACCAGAATGTAACTTTGCCACATCGTAATATGATACGCAGACCGTCCAGGGTTGGGGTCGACCGGGTAGCGCGGTCCGTCCCCCAGCCCGGAGCCCACTCCGGTTGATCCCGGTGATTTTGTTAGGCCTAATAATCCAGTGAGAAACGGAAAGACAAGCGAACAGAGTGGGGGGATGTATATGCAAGGGAAGGGGCATACATCTAATTCTAGTGGTGGAATTTCTTGAACACGGCTAGTTGTACGCTACCGCAAATATTTTATAGTGCAGTGGAATGTCTGTCCCTACTGTAGATTTTCCGTTCTAGGAAGCCCGCCTTCCTCTTCCCCCCGCAAAAGACGGGCCCAGACCAATGTATTTATCCACAGTAAACATTAAATAGATTGAAGGTGCTGTGTATCAATTGTTTACTACGATTGACCCCGGTGATTTTGTTAGTACAGTGGGAAGTTGCAGGGATCTGAATCCTTTGGATTCTGCCGTTCATTTCATTATTAATACTGTATCGGGCCATTCGGAGTTGATATTCATGGCTCCGCATGGCGATTCGAGAAGGCGGTGCTGTATGGAAAACTTACCGCTTCAAGGATTCAGATCCCTGCAATTCTCCACCATACTAACAAAATCACCGGGGTCAACCAGAGTATATAGTAGGCAATAGTGGATACAATGTCGAGTGTGACCTCCTTATGCACCTCAACAGTCATGTTCCTCATAACTCGCGCGGTGCCTCGGCTAATATGATAATACCTTCTCCCGGCTACAGCAAGCTACTCGTACCAATTTGCAATAACCGAATAACCCCAAGATCGTCCCATCATCAGAGTCGCTTTCTTCGCTGCTCATCGGCGAGCCCAAACCTCAAGCGAAGGCTCACCGACCCCATCCATCCTTCCAAAGCTGGATCCTTTTGTTTATTTTAAGATCTCCATTCCACGGACAGGACATTTTGTAGTGGCAAATGGGGCTGGGGAGGGGGGCGGGTATCTGGTTCTCGGCCCTTTTGGTAAGGGCACACCGCTACTAACCTAGTAATCTACCAAGTAGATCACCACTGTTGCAGACGGGACTCGATCAGTCGATTGAATGATTCAGCTGCTTTGTGGGCCCCTGAACCCTAAAGATCAGTGAACAATCTCATGTTTGTGAAAGAGAGACAAGTTATTAGAAAGAAAAAAAAAAAAAAAAAAAAGGGAAAAACGCAACGGGATATGCCAATGAGGTTGGTTGGGATATGCCAGCGACATGTAAGAAACCCCCTCCATTTGCAGGATAACAGTACACGGTACTCCGTACCGCTGACGACAATGTAGACAAAAGTGACGAGCGTATCACAGCTACGTTGCTCTTGGCGCTAAGCATCAATTGGTTAGTCTGGATTCTCAATTCAAAAGACAAGTAAATTCATTTGCCACACCGTGTCTCGCTGATATGCACGACCCACGCAAGCGCCGTTGCCAATTCTCGATGAAGCAGAGCAGTATCATCGGCCATAGCATGTTACCTAACCAAGACTAAACTCATTAAATGACGCGGAGTACGCGGAATTCCTGATCTCAGAGAAGCGAGACTAGGCAGATGATCGACACGGTCGTTTTCTGAAAGATCGAACGAGTTCGGAGCTGAGCGAAAGGCGATTCCGCAAGAGTATGGCTCAATATGGCAAAAGCGAGATTTATCATGTGATTTTCAGAGGTTGCGGTCTTTCTGGGAGGGGAGATGTGGGCGTATTCGATGTGAAGATTCGAAGCAATCTCGTTCAGACCACCTCTTCGTCGAAAATCATCCAGGATGACTACCAAGAACTTTCCACTCTCGGACGTGCTCGCGGTCGCGAAAATCCATCCGTTCTACAATTCAGATGTACTTTATCCACCGGGTCCTGAGCAGATCCGGGCTATTGTGCAGTCAGGAGTCTCTCAATCCAGGCAGACTACGAGTAGCAGTCTCGAGTCGCTGCCACTGACAACCAAGAAGAATCTGTACGTGAGCTCTTCGCCTCATTCCCCAGCAAGCTCAGTCAACCAACTCATATCTCACAGCTATCGGGTTATCGAGCGACTGACCAAGGACACGAGCCCGCACAACGAATACCGCCGCAGCGCCTATGTCAGCATCACAGGCGGTGGTTCCGGGGGTTTGCCGCTGATGTTTTTGTCGGATGCGAATGAAAACCGGCAGCACCGCGCAGCATTTGGCGATTTCCTGAGGATCTGCGGAGTGGTGAAACCGCATGATTGGATCCTGACAACGCATGCCGCGGGCTATTGGTATAGGTTCGTTTTAGCCTTCTGCGAAAGATTTAGGGATGGTAGAGCTGACCTTGGAGCTTTCCTTCACGCTTGGCTAGGTCTCTTGACCTCATGACTGAGATTCTAGAAAACGCAGGGGGGACGGTTCTCAGCGCTGGCAATTTCATGACTCCCGATGAGGTTGTACGCGCCCTTGAGCATTACCATATCAACGTCTTGACAGGCGATGGCAGTCAAGTCATTCAAATTGTCCACCGGATCGGAACCCTTCCGGCAGAGAAGCGAAAAGGGATCAGATTGACGAAAGTGATCTACACCTCTGAGCCGCTGACTGACGGTCAGAGACAATACATCCGCGCGACGCTGGGCCCGGTCAAGATATGCTCCGTCTTAGGAAGCGCAGAATCCGGGCCATACGCCCTCCATAATCCGGACCTGACCGGGGAGGCCGGGCTCACAGGCTCCATGGACTTTGTCTTTGACACCCGGAGCCTCGTGGTTGAAATCTTGCCCCCTTCCGTCGTAGAAAGTGATCCCCCGTCGGGGTTCAAGTCCCTGCCGGAAGGCCAGGAGGGAGTCCTCGTCCAGACTTCCTTGCAACGGCGGCGCAATCCCCTTGTACGTTACATCACTGGTGACCTCGCATCGGTTCACCCACTCCCCGACCTTGCGCGATCCGTGGTCCCGGAATCGGATCTTGAACACTTGCGGGTTCTCCGTTTGCGGGGTCGTGATCGTCGCTTCAGTTTCAAATGGTTTGGGGTGTACTTTGAATTCACCAACATCGAGAAGCTCATGCAGAGGGAGGACTTCGGGCTTCTGCAATGGCAGATTGTCAAAGCGACCCATGATTCATCCCCGCAGACAACGCTTGAGGTTAGGATGCTCCGGGAGGCAGCGAGTGAACGATTGATCGCTCGACAAGATCTCGTCCATGAACTGGAGACTTTCTTTTTCGTGCTGCCCGAGAATCGGCATCTGTTCCGGCTGACGTTCGTGGAAGATCTGGGTGGGTTTGAAAAGAGCGGCACGGGGAATAAAGTCATGAAATTTGTGGATCGAGCACATTAGCATCTTGCGCAACGCTCACACGTCAGGCTGTAGCCAGGATACTTACCAAGGCCGTGGGAAATGTGGTCCTGTTTTGAATGAGGAACTTTGCACTCGCCTGTTTACTGCATCTTTGTCGTGTATTAGCTACTTACAACGTGTGTCTTTCCATGCATCTAGCACGTAACTCGCCGGGGCCTCTCATCCGCCACATCTCTCTATCCGAGATTATCATTGTGATATCATTCAGCGTGTTTGATATAGTCTGAACAAGGCATTTAGAATGTCTGGTTGACAACGTGGTCTCACTAGTTCTATCGATTGCCACTAGTCGGGTTCATTGCATGTCCCAGCAATGTAGGGTTTAAGGGGTTCCTCAAAATGGTATTTATGATTGCACATCACTCGGGGCTCATATAAAGTCCGGTGTGGGAAACCTATCCTGTACTCCGTACAACCGTGTCATATTCTTCCAAGGCTCCCGGCAAGCATGACCTCAGAAAGCATCTCAGATAGAGATGCCCATGCGACAACACTCCCAGCAGAAAAGCCGGAGGCGAATGATGACTCGCAAGAAGAGGATCGTATGGAGTACCCGACAGGCGCCAAGCTTGTCATGATTCTTGTTGCCATCTTCTTGTCTTTGGTTCTCACCGGGCTGGTGTGTGCAATTCCACGGCGGTTGCCGCTCCACCAGAATTCTTACCAAGGAAAGGATTAGGACTTCAATATGATAGCGACAGCATTGCCTATCATCACCACACATTTCCAGACCATTGCCGACGCTGGCTGGTATTATTCAGCATAGTGAGTGTTCTTCCGTGTTGTCTCAAGATTGAGTAGTCAGTTGGTTTTTTAATAACGCACGTCAGCCGTTTGACCTCATGCGCCTTTCAGTTTATCTTTGGCAATCTATACCATCTTTTCTCTACCAAGTCCGTATTTCTTGCCTCGGTGCTCATTTTCGAACTGGGATCTCTACTCGCTGGGGTAGCGCCCACGTCCAGCGTGCTGATACTCGGGAGGGCAGTATCTGGCATTGGTTGCTCAGGTATCATTTCCGGAGTCCTGACGTTAGCTTTGCCTCCCTGATTTCTTCCTGTCTGATGACTTTTCTGTGCCTGTATTGCGCTCCCGCTGACTCATCGAATAGCATTATAGCGCAGTGCTTTCCTCTCCGCAAACGTCCGCTATTTACTGGTCTAGCAGCAGCCTTCGAAGGTGTATCTTCGGCTGTTGCCCCAATGCTTGGGGGAGCCTTGACTCAAAGCATCTCCTGGAGATGGTGTTTCTACATCAACCTCCCCCTCGGAGGCCTTTCCTTCCTGCTGATCCTACTGTTCTTCCAAGATCCATTGAAATCAAAGCGTAAAACGCTGCCATGGAGGGCCAAGCTTCGCCAACTTGACCTGCTCGGCGCTGGGCTTTTCATCACGTCAGTTACCTTGCCCTTATTGGCACTTCAGTGGGGAGGCACTACCTACTCCTGGGGCGACGCTCGGATCATCGTTCTCTTCGTCTTATCCGGTGTCATCCTGACTGCCTTTGTCTGGCACCAAAAGAGGAAGGGCGATCATGCTCTGCTCCCCGCCCGCGTGATGCGGTCACGAAGTGTCTTTGCCGGAGTGTGGTTCGGCCTCTGCAATAATTCGTCTTTGTCGGTGTTTGAGTATTATGTATGCGCCCCCGGCCGCTGAGGGGAGTTTCTCTTTCTCTCTCTCTCTCTCTCTCTCTCTCTCTCCCTCTCTCTCCCTCTCTCTCCCTCCCACCGACTCACTGACTAACTGTGTTTCGGAACGAAGATGCCGACCTACTTTCAAGCCGTCCACGGGGTATCTGCCACGCTATCCGGCGTGCTTTGTCTGCCGATCGTGGTGGGACTGACCTTGTCCATCCTTGTCGGAAGTTCCCTCACGAGTGCCATGGGATACTATACCCCCTTTATGATTGCCACAGCCGTCATCAGTCCGATTGCAGCGGGCTTGCTCACCACGTTGCGAGTGAAGCAGTCTCTGGTCTCGCTTATTTTCTATCAGGCTCTGCTGGGCGTTGGCACGGGCATTGGCTTCCAGGGGCCCCAAGTGGCCGTTCAGACTATCCTGCCGGTCGCCGACGCCCCGATTGGCATTGCGCTGATCATCTTCGCCCAGAACGTGGGGCCCGCAGTCTTCGTCTCAATCGCGCAGACTATCTTCACCAGTGAGCTTCTTGTCAGGCTCCGGGGAATAGTGCCGGGCCTGGACGCGCAGGCATTGACCCAGATGGGGGTTTTCGAGCTCCAGCAGCATGTTGCTCCGGCTGACAGGTCGCGAGTGGTCGAGGGGTATGATCGAGCTTTGACCACAGCATTCTTTCTGCCGGTTGGCCTGGCTTGTGCTACGATGGTTGGGGCATTGGCGATGGAGTGGAGAAGTGTAAAAAAGTGAAGCAGTCGAGGAAGAGCGCTCAGATGTGCTCGCTGACTTGAGATAGATGTGCACAATACTGATCTGTGGTTGCTCTAGACTGGCCCGCTGCTTGATCATGTTCACCGCCCGTGTCTTCGTCACCCGCATCCGATGCTCTTGATCTCTGACTGAAGTGAATAAGTCCTGCTGCGTCTTGCCCTGGCATGAAATTGGAATGATGATGAACTTGAATCTCTGTATCTAAGCAGCATTGAGAAGAAGATGAAATGAGTATCTTTTCACGGTAAGAAATAGCATCTGCGTAGCATTTTCATGATATAATATGCACAGTCAACAGTGGATACAACAGACTTCCTGTAGGCTATCTTGAAGTCCGGCTGAACTATCACTCGTCACCATTCTCAGTACGGGTTTATAGACCTGTCCAGAATTCTTTGAACCAGCAGAAGGCTTTTACGCTCTGCTTCCGGCTCGCCACTCTTCTCTATCTCTGGATATAGAGGTCACCCGACCCCCATTCGAAGGTCTTATTACTCTCGGATCCAATTACATCCTCAATTCCCATAATGCAGCAGTCTTATCAACACTCCCTTGAGATGACCTTCGAAGAGACCTCACCTCTAGATCACGAATTCGCATGTTATGGGGGCAACCAGATCCATTATCAAAGGGCTTTCACCCCGCTTGCAGCGATCCAAAAGAGCATCTGCAGATATTCGTCAACAGCTTCATGACCTTGTTTAGGATTCAGTGTATCAGTACACAGTTGTAGTTAATGGGAGAAGCAAGAGATTCCATGAATCAGTATGACTTTGCAATGGAGCATCTGTATTTGATTGCTTGTACCGAAGTTCTCTACGTTCGGCTCTGTGGACTTGGGAGCAGGTTCAGCCATGCTTATTCGGCTTGTTACGGGGACAGATAGATTGCGCTAATCAAAACGTGCCTTTGAACAAGAAGGCATGGCTGGAAAGTAACGTGCTGTGCGCGGCGATCTCGCTAAAATGGCTGGTCTCGAACGGCAGGCTGTGGGTGTGTTGGGTGTGCAGCATGGCCCAGCTGCTGCGCGAGGGGGTGGTCGGGCTCGACGCACAGGCGCACGGGGATGGTGTTCACACACGGCCCGGCCACGTCCTGCAGCGCCGCCACGCTCGTCTTAGACCGCACCAGCTGCCCCGTGGTGCTGGTTGGGTCGTTGGCAGGCGCCGTCGAGTCCGGCGCGGTGCCGCGTCTGCGTGATGCAGGACCCCCTCCAGCAGGCCTACATAGTATCTACCCGCTGGGGTAACAATCTCTTACTACTTACATCATCATATTGCGTTCTCGATCACTAATGATGAGGTTTCAGTAACCGCCTCTTACTGTAGTGGGTGAGAAAATGGCTACGTGGTCCTACTTCATCGATGCGCGAATCTCTGCATCTGGGCCGAGGCGGGTCGAACTGGCTAAATCCGTCCAGAATCCAGTGAGGGCTCACGGACTGCGGGGAGGCGGCAGTACAGTATAGCTCCTGCCATTATCACTCGGCATACCACATTCCGACTACTCAACATTCATTCCATGCCGATGGCTCCTGGTTTTTGGGGGGGGGATTCATGGTCCCCGCACAAGCGTGGTGCAATCTCTTGAAACGCGCAAGATAAAACCACAAAGACTGAGCAGAAAGACAACCCTATACAACTTTAGTCGTGGCGTTATCACATCTACTGATAACCCGTTGCCAATAGATCCTCGTGTCATATCGGCGATGTAGAAGACAGAGACCGGTGGAAGCGCTGCAACTGCAGAGGCGATCGCTCACACAATCGAAAACGTCAAGGTTCGCGCAGCTCAAAATACTGAGCTTGTTCTCACTTGTAGGCCTGGGCCCAGTCTGGAACAAAGGTCCCGCAGAACAGCAGGAACATAAAAAAGATGACGACGAGCAGCATGCCGTCTGGTGACTCTGGAACCCACTGTTTAACCGTCAGGAGAGTTCCAAGCTGGCGATAATCTAATCAACCTCCGCTGCTCTTGATTTGCTGTCGCCAGATGTTCCCTCATCTTTCAATAAGGTCAACAGAACGATTGGAAGGACTCGACCAGGACATCTTTCCAGGATTGGGGTTCAGGAACTATAACTTCAATGGCCATTACGAATATGACATGTGCATGCCAGGCATACTCCAATATATCAAAATCAATTTTATCTCTCCCTGGTACCTGTTGATACGATCTGTATTCACGGACTTGGCGATATCCACCTGATGGAAGACGACTGCCTAGTAGCAATTACCTTAATTACCCTTTTCCACAGCATGTACGGTACTAAGCAGTCTACCTTCAGCGAGATCCCTGTCCTCAGGGCACACGGCGACAAGCACGGCGAGACAAGAGTGATCTCTTTGTCTGGGTCAAGTGCGAATCTCAAGACAATGGCGTGGGGTGGCTTGATGGGCAGTCAACCTAGGTCGAATGTGGCTGGGGTTTCTCATGACTCCGCAGAAAAGCAAACATTCCTTTCTCTCCATGTCTTTCTAATTCCCAGCAGAGGTAGTACACAAAATGTAGGTTACACAGATACGAACTAATTCAGAACAAAAAAAAACATTTTTGGTGGTGAAAATCTCTTAATAAGATAGACATAATAAAAGTACTGATCATTATTAACCATAGAATATGCCGACTAGGCAATGGGTGGGATTCTACAATAACCCGCTAATTGTATTCAATAAAATATATAGACAACTTACTCTTACCCCTAAAGTTGGTGGCTACCCGGATAGTCTTGTAGACTACGTGAGGCTATTTGAGAGGAACTAAGAGCCATCGAGGTGGGCTGTGAGCGGTCTGACCGGCAAGGCCTCAGGAGGGCCACCGACACTACTGAAACGGACACCGTCAACTGCACTAGTCCTCCTCATTAGACCGTTCTCAATAAGTCCAAGGCAAGATCCTCCACCGCACCGTCCGCTTGTACGTCTTCCAATCCTCGCCATACTTCTTCGCGCACATGGCGTCGTCCCGCCGCTCGCGATGGACGAGCAAGACACCAAAATACAGCACGTAGAAGTAGGTGAAGATCATCCCCCACCCGGCTGCCGGGCCTTGCATCGCGACCCGCCCGTCCAACATCGTGCGAGACGACGATCCGGCGAGATCGTGTACCCTGCCACCCCCGTGGGCAGGCTAAAGGGCCACGCCTGCACCCAGTCGCCGAAGTAGTTGATATGCCGGGAGAGACCCCACCAGCCAGCGGTGAGAAGGCGGGTGCCGCGCCTGGTGGTGATGGACCATAGATCCCGCACGGCGGGGTGGTTGGGCTGGGTGCGGAACAGGTGTTTCTGATTGTTCGCCGCTTTGAATATGTAAATCCCGAGGACGAAGACGGCGGCAACCACGAGGATTCGTGGCTCGCCGAGATGCACGGGGAAGGCCGCGAGGTAACGAGCTTGGGTCGAGTAGAGGAAGGGGACCCAGACTAGGTCGCCGAAGGCAAGCATGAAGCCCATCCCGTCGGTCGTGATATCCATCATCGTCAAGATGGATGACTCGTTGTACTGGCTGCTGAGGACGTAGTATGCCTACACGGCGGTCGTGAACACGATGCTGTCGGAGAGGTATCCATAGTTGCGGTCCTGTTGAGCGATGAATGACAGGTCAAGCGGGATCCAAACAGTCAGACCGGGACAGACTTCACACCACGTCTTGATGTCGACTTCTCCAATCAGAGGCAGGGTAACCCGGGGGTTGAGCTCCCGGCCGATGTACAAATCGTAGATGAGGTTGCCTGTCATGCCGCCGGCAGCTAGCTCTCGAAAGTCGCGGTTGGGATACTTGGTGTCGACGGTGAAACTGTTGACGTAGAGAAAGACCGATAAGGCGTATGAGATGAGTACGTTTGCCGTCAGGGGAACTCGACCCCTTGGAGGAATGTGCCTGCCGCGCAGATAGAGAGAATAACCACACTGGCCGAGAACGCTATGCCGTCCGTTAGCTTGCGTTGACCCTAAAGATTTGGAAGGTGTCGATACCATTGAATCGATACTGAAGGGGGCGATCATGGTGCATCAACTTGGTTCCATGAACCTCTTTTGCAGGAAGGATCTTCCAAAGGGAACGACCGAAGACATAGTAGGCGACAGTGACCAGCGTCACTTTCCAGGAGAGGAAATTCGACAGACCGATATTCAGTAGATTAGCGTCGGCTTTCAGCTTTGCCCAGGTCAAGTCGCGAGGTTGCAGAAGTGATGGCATTGGGCAGCCAGACACGTCGTTGCAAGCGAATGTGAACGCGTAGAGCAGGACGGGCAGGCCAAAGGTGATGGCTGCGGCACCCAGACTATGAAAGCGTAAGCAGAAGTCAAGGCCCAAGGAAGCAGGAGCAAGTTTCTTACGGTCCGCCGAACTCATATTCGACCATTCTTTTTTCGTTGTGATATTCCGCCGTGGGGGGGTTCCGGTGACGGGGACAGTGGATTGATTCAGAGTTTCTAAAGATCTGGGGATCGTCTGGTGGGGAGAGATGCGCGATTTAAGGGGCTGTTTGTAAGGCCCGGCAGGTATCGACCGGTAAATGCTCCACGCTCGGCTGCACTTCCCTCATAATCAGGCCACTACATTTTGAAAATAACGGTATCGTTAGGTATGAAAACAATCCTCTGTAAATGGAAGGCCGGGCCGGGCCGCTGTAACGGATACTATATGTACTTATAAGTGCGGAGTACGGCTAGGTGCTCAATTTTCAGAATAGCTGCCGTTCAACGCCAAGGCCTGTTCCTAAGAGAAACTTGATGGACCGTGGAATCATTGACACGCTTTCGCGAAGATTGATATTATCACTAGTATCTACTACTATATGTTCCAGCATGAGGCACGGCACCCAGTCAGCCCGGGGCAAACTTCACAGCATGCCGAAGTGATGACTAATACCCAAGAAGACCGCCTACATAACCGAAAATAAAGTTACGCACGCCTCCTGCGATATGATAATCTTCCAATGATCATCCGATAGTTTGCTATAATCATGCCTATAATCTCGCGCATGTTAAACGGGGTTCGGAGTAGTTCGCCAGGGTTGTCGAGAGAGACCACCCTACTACCCATCTCAAGCCGACGACGTTATTTTATCAACACCCTCAGCTTCGGATGGCTAATATTGTCGGAGATCCGCAGGATTTCTTTAGATATACGAGTGGACGATGGGTCTGGGATGAAAGGCAGCAACTCCAAGAGAGGTATCGCGAATTCGATATACTTGAGATGCAGAAGGTTGCTATGGATTCATCATCTTCTGGGTCCTGTGTGCGTATGGCCAATTTAGGAGAAGGGTCATACAACAAGTCGTTCAAGCTTACCATGGGCAATGGGAAGACAGTTGTTGCCCGAGTTCCAAATCCGAATGCTGGGCCGGCTTTTTTGACCACAGCGTCCGAGGTTGCCACAATGGACTTTGTGAGTAAATCTTACCATCGATCGTGTTCAATGATCCATATCTACATTTGCATCTTAGTGATCTGACATAACGTTCTAGTTAAGAACCATACTGGGTCTTCCAGTCCCCAAAGTTCTTGCGTGGAATTCTGCAGTCGACTCTACGAACCGTGTAGGGGCTGAGTACATCATCATGGAGTATGCCCCTGGTAAGAATCTCGCAGATGTTTGGACAGACATGGACCTTGAATGCAAGGTGCGGACGATGGAGGATATAGTGACCATCCAACACAAATTTCTATCGTTAAAATTCTCCGAATATGTTTATCCCTATGGTTCAAGGCGCAAAAATCTCTTGTACCTTCTAACTTGAGAGCAGACATGGTTGCCTTTTCTACAGGAAAAACGCACCGCCTGGATCTCACCCCGCAATAGTCGAAGGAGGCAACTTGTCGCATGAACTTAAGCAGAGAATTGCTGAGAGGTTTTCTATCGGGCCGATAGTGAACACGGCATTCTGGAGTCAAGGGCGAGGCGATGTGGATATCTATCGTGGACCATGTACGCCTGTTCCAGCAATTTCCCGTCGCCGATCAAGCTGATAGCTGTATACAGGGGCTTCTGCGGTTGGCTACATACAGGCTTCTGCCCTTCGAGAGATAGCTTGGATTCAGAAGCATGCGACCCCGCGTTCTCCGAATGATCCGTTATTCGTTTCCCACAGCCAGAATGATCCTGCCGAGCACGTTTCTCTTATTCAGAGGTATCTATCTATTACTCCTCATCTGATTCCACAGGAAGAGGGTATTCTAGGGTCATTCTTATGGCACCCGGACCTTCGCACTCCTAATATCTTTGTCGACGATAGCGGTCATATTACTAGCATCATTGACTGGCAAAGCGCATCGGCTGGACCTTTGTTCCTAGAAGGCCGTCGTCCTCATTTTCTCGATTATAACGGCGACTTGATACTCGAACTACCTGAAGACTTCAAGCAACTGGACGCAAATGCGCAAAGTGCTGTTAAGGGCACGGTCACCAACTCGATCCTACTATATCTCTACGAGAAATATAGAACCGAAAGAAACCCACTTCTGAGCAGAGTGTTCCAGTATCCAAGTGGCAAGACACTAACCGATCCAATCCGCTTTGTCCGGAATACATGGGATGGAGATATTACCCCACTACGAGAGTCGTTGATAAGGATATAGAAGTAAGTTGTCAGCAAATCCTGCGTAGTTGACGAATTGTGCTTACTGAACACAATTTTTGAAGGAAGTGGAGGAATCCACTAGGCCACGCGGTTGAGTGCCCCATCGACTTTTCTCCTGAAGAGATCCGCAAACATTACGAGGATAGTGAAGGCTGGAATGAAGTACAAGACTTTTGGGAACGGCTTATCGGGGATCATAAGCCGGGATGGCTGGACCTCACATGCAACCTACGATCAAGCTATGTCCATCTATTCTCAGATCCACGCAGAAACAACCCCCCCCCCTCTAGCCACGAGGTATAATACTGGAGGAATGTACAAGTTCATTTCTGTGCGACGATTGCTCTAGAAAACAAATTTTTGGTTGGTTTCCCACAGACGAAATGAGATTTGCGTACAGCTTAGACAGGATTGTCAATGTATGCCTGCCGTGACTGAGGTGGCCTCCATTGCTGTTGAGATATCCGCTGCGGAAGCTGTCGAATCCTCCCGCGAGATGTGAGTTTCCGCATAGAAAAAGGCTTTTCTTCACTCAGATATTTTGAAACCACCGGGAGGAGATGGAGGTATCGGAGCCATAATCGCTCTTCCTTTAAATCTAACTTTATTTTTAAATCTAAATATAATAAGGGAGACGATTTCCAAATACATACGATCACCAAACGTTTTGTGCAGTTGTTGGCGATGAGGGTAGAGAATGAGCCTGTCTGGATGGTTTCTGATGGACGGCGACAATGCAATGCAATGTGCAATGCAATGTCGGAAACCTCAGGCAGCAGGTTTTACGCTAGATGGTGCGTCGACGGAAATTGCGGAAGCGTGGCAGAAGGAAGCTGCTGGTTACGAAGTCACGGAGTAGTAGGTAAGGTATAAAAGATCATTTAGTGCAGCACACATACTCGCCAGTTTCCGGATTCTTCGTTTCCTCTCATGTATATCATAACGCCATTTGGAAGACATCCGCCTACGATGCAGCTATCGTCTACCCCGTAAACACCGATCCTCATGCAGGCCACTGCATGAACAAGAGATTTCATACCCGAACAGTAAAAACACCGGACTTTGCGCAGGGGAATCGACCAGGCCCCAACAGGATGCTTTTAATATTCAGCCTCCTTGGGAAAAGAGAAGGAAGATAGCCACATCAATCCACCTGTTTCTCGCACCCAATCCGACTCAGCAACTCCTTCCGATCAAAGCTGACGCCGGATGAGCTCGCCGTTCGTCGACTCCCGGCCGCCCTGCGCTTCCACCCTGATGACGGGGATGGGGACGGCTTTACCATCTCGTTCTCATCCTCCTCCACATCCATCTCGGCTTCCTCCTCATCATCATCACTCCGAATATCATCCGCCCCAATTCCCTGCACAACCCGCACCGCCACCTTGACGATCAACACGAACCACAGCACCGTCAGCAGCTGCAGGAACCCTAGGGCCCCCAGAAACCCCCACCGGATTCCATCGCTGTAGCAGATGGGGCCCGTGGGGTCGTAAAATGGTGTCCAAAGATGAGACCAGCCCCGTACAGGGAGAGGCGTCGGTCCACGGAGCGAGTCCTGGGCGCCACTGGCAGGAACGTGGTAGCACCCCTCCGCAATCGTCTCGGGCATGTACTTCCAGATCCCCCACATGGTGAGCAGGTAGCAGACATGGCGAGCCAGGAACCACGCGAGCATGAATACGCCGAAGAGAATGTCGCGGGCGGTGGTGTAGCCGAGGTATTTGAGGCATTTAGCGAGCTGTTTCTGAGGATAAGTCTATCTTCCTCTCTCGCTGTGTGGAGAAAGGGCGAGAGGATAGAAAAACTCACCGGGAAAAAGATGTCCACCACATCCATCAGGATGAGCACCAGGTTGGCCACCCGGGTGAGATGCAAGGCATACGCGGTGGAAATCAGCACGACCGTCACCAGGTGGTGGGCGAGCATCTGCCAGTGGTCCTTGCGACGGGCCTCGATGTTCAGGACGAGGATCTGCTGCAGCCAGAACGCCCATTGGCCCAGGATGTAGACCTTGGTGAGGCCCGGGAGGTCGCGCGTGGGCCAGTCGGTGAACATCTCGCGGAGGTTGAGGTAGTACTTGGAGGTGCCGTAGATGTACTAGTGGGTGATAGTTAGGAAAGATTTTGCGCGTCTTCTTGGGAGGGATGAGGATGTCATAGCGGGAATCGCACGTACCAGACCCAGCGTCCAGAAGACCGAGTAGTAGCACAACAGCCACGCCTGCTCGGAGAATCGCGTGATATCCTTCCTCTTGGAGATCCCCCATTGTGTCGCTAGCGGTGCGAGGATATACTTCATGATCCCCGCGCGGAGGCCCGTGTAGAGCACCACGCAGAACCCAAGGAAGTAAAAGTCCCCGTTGCCGATGGCATATTGCCCGGTGTTTGGGTTGTAGTGCGATGGTGAGAAGAATTTGGATGTGTGTTGGCGTGCGCGGGGGACGAACAGGTGGGTGACGACGAGGAGGGCGAGGAGATTGAGGGGGATCTCTGGGGGGGCATGTTTAGTTCATGAGGCGCAGACGGTGAGCATCAGACACAACGTGGAGTACCACCCACCAATTTGATGATCGAGCAGCCAGTTGGCTAGATTCTTGGGGCGTCGTGGGGGTTTCCGCTTGAGTAACCGTTTAACGAGGTTGTCCCTGCACAATGATTGGGATTGCGGGGAAAGTGTGGAAGGCTCGGAGAATGGCGCCCTCATCGCAGGCGCGTGCTCTAGAGCGTCCTGGGCGGTGTGGCACTCGCTCATGACGAGATCCAGCTGCAGCTGATGCAGCTCGAGTGCTATGTGGTGACTGAGAAACGGAGGTAGCTAGATCGATTACATAGACGAGTTAGGAGCAACTGTGTTGACGCCCTTGATGACCGGGGGCTGATTGACGTGTCCAGATGGAGAAAAAGTCAATAGACTAGACCCGTCTCCTTCCATTGAACGGCATCAATGAGTGCGGCATTCATGCCAGCCGCCTATTGGTCACGTGATACTTCTTTGTCTCCCTCTTTCGGGCTTGTTGTTTTTGTTGTTGTTGTTGTGGTGGTGGTGGTGGTTGCTGTTGCTATGCGCGGTGGTCTGGATCCCGGGCCATGATCATGGATCCATCGGGATGTAAAAGGACCAGCCCAAAGGGGGAAAGGATCAATAGAAATCCCGGATATTAGCCGGACCCACCCGATCAAGCTAGCGTATCCCGTGACCCACATAGTCGTCGATCACGCCGGATGCAGTGGGTCATTCTGTATGCGGTGCGGGACAGTACTGTGGAGTGACCTACTTAATCTGATGATCGGATCTACCTACCTACTTATACCTACATCCATGATAGTATTTACAACTGCTTAGCAAACAACCCTCCCGACCAGTTCCACATGGATCCCTCCCCTCCAGCTTCGCTGCTGGCTTGCCTCCTTGACGACACTGACATCTGGACGGGAACTATCGTGGCATTTACGATCGTCATCGTCTTGATCTCCATTTATCAAGCCCAGCCCTCTGGGCCGGCATACGGTATGTCATGGTTTCCCTTGCATAGTCCCCACATTTTGTATCTTTATCATGTTCAAAGGCCCCAGACTAATCCCGTGTGGCCTACTCCAGCTCTCGCACGACCAGCACGCGCATTTCATCCCCCATCGGGAGCAAACAAGCCAGAAGGTTCTGCAAGGCAACTCTCCATTCTTGACCTCGAAGTTTGCTAAAAAGGAGGCTTGTTTGGGGGGAGTGGAGACCCGGCCAGATACAGGAGTGGCTAACAACAACAACATCCTTTCGGTGTTTGACGCTGTTCGGGTACTATCTATCCTATCAACGTGGCAATGAATAAAGATGAAGAGACAGGCCCGCGTCTCAGGTACTGGGCCCCTTGAGGGCATACCGATGCCAGTACCTCCGGGGTGGGGTGAGAGGGACTGAACGGCAGGAGACCAGCAAAAAGCAGCTTCCATTTGCTATTGCCACCACCACCCCCGAGCATTATCATCCTTGGTCTTGTGCTTGGAATGGGAAGCTGCAGTTTGAGGTGTAGGAGTTGGCCTTTGTTTGTATATATTATGCCTAAGCGGAGCTGTTTCTAGGTGGTTTGCCTTGAATAAAAGAAGGTTGAGAAGGGAGGGAGGGGAGGGGATAAATAGTCGATCTGGCGTGGAGACATGAGCGTGATCGAGTCGCTGTCAGAGAATTGGGGAATGAGAGATTCATTCGATTGGAAAAGGTTTTTCGCATTATCAGTCTGGATCAATCATCAATCCGCATGCCGAGCGGTTCCCCGCTGCCAGCCACATTCCAGCATCTATCAATCTGCAGGATGATCATGTGGAATTGGCCCGCTTTGGCACCCGCATCCAGCAGACTACAATCAGTTCCCCGATGTTCTCTAAGTACAGTCACCCAAAAACAACACAGTTGACTCTCCGCAAAACATCACCCACCGACTCTATCTGAAGGGTGAGCAAGAAAATAAGAAAGAAAGAAAGAAAGAAAGAAAGCCCCGTGGCCACTGAGAGTCACCCCGGTCAGCACCTCAATCGAGCTGCACCTTACACCCCTCCGCACTCGAGACGACGAGCGTGAGGGTCTGCGGTTCCTGGCCGGGCGTCACATCCGCCGCATCGGGTGCCTTGCGGAGGTTCGGGAACGCCTGGATCAGTCGGATCAGCCCGAACGAGGCCTCGGTGAGAGCAAAGTCTTCTGTCATTTCATCAATGATATGGTATCATCAGCCCAAGACCCTTCTCCAGGTGTATCGATCTATCGATCTGAGGGAGGAAAGGTAGGGGCCCAAGGGGGGGCAGGGGGGACGCTCACTTCCCAGACATATCCGTGGTCCACCATGAAACGGCATGAAGGCGAACCCGAGATTCTTCAATTTGGGCCCCGCCCACCGCTCAGGTCGGAACACCTCCGCGTCAGGTCCGTAGATCTCCTGGCTGCGGTGCATGTGGTAGGCCGAGAATCCCACGCCGGTGCCTTTGGGGATGAGCAGGGGCGAGTCGCCGGCGGGCCCGCCGCCGCGGGGGAGGTAGGTGGTTCGTCGGGCGAGGCGCACATTCACGGGGATCTGAGTGTATAGGCGGTTGGCTGTAGCGGATTAGGGGTTAGCCCTGCTAGTGAGGGTGACGGGAAGAAATGGAGGGGGCATTACGCACTTTCATTGAGAACGTATCGCAGGTACGTCATCTTGTTGATATGGCCTCGCGTCAACTGCTTTTCACCCTTGGTGGTCGAATGGATTTCCTGGCGAAGACGCTCAAGGGATGCTGGGTGGCGGACTAATTGATAACTTTGAAGGTGAACTCATGAGCGAGAAGATCGTTTCGAAGGCGAGCATATCAGGGGAAAGGTGGAAAGCGTCATCCACTTACCAAGCCCACGACATCAGACAAGCCGTCGTATCTCGACCCGCGATCAACACATTCAGGAGCTGATCCCGCACCAGCTCGGGGCTCCGGAGCTCCTTCAGGAGATCGAGGATGAATGGATGGCGCGTGGCCGCCTTCTCCTCTCCGTTCGCTCGCATATCATCCAGCGCATGGCTCACGTAGTGGGTGGCATACTGGCGGATCACCCCGCAGGCGTCCCGATAGGCTCGGGGATTGTACGCCCAGCACCAGTCCGCCAGCCGCATCCGCATGGCCGAGATCAGCGAGGTGTAGTCGAAGGCGTGGGCAAACCGGGCGTGATCGCTCGGTGCCAGGCCCCCGGCGGACGCCTCCCCGAAAATGAGCAAGATGGTGGTGGCCAAGGTGAATTGGAAAAAGGCCGGCTGCAGGTCCACGATGTCCCCGCGGCACGACCGCAGGGTGGCGAGGAGGTCGTCGATCGGACGGTCAAAGATCTCGGTGTCTTGACTTTGGATGCGGGCGAACTGTCGCCGAAGAAGCTGGCGCGAATGCTTCCAGGCGAGGCCGTCTTGGGTGAAGATGCCTGTGCCGATCATGGGCAGCAGTCCATCCCGGCTATTTCCGAGTTCCCAGTCTAGGAAAAAACAAAGCATTAATGGTGAATTCGATGATTTCTCGGTTGGGGGTGAACTGGGAAATTCCATGCCAGGACTTCAACATACCGTCAAACCGCGTCTGCAACATGGACTCCAGGTTCCTGGGATCCATCGTAAAGTAGCCCACGCGACCCAGCAGCCGGATCTCGAAAGTCTGGCCGACCCGGAATCGCTGGAAATAGTCGGCTTGGTAGGCCAGTAGCTTGCCACGCGCGAGAGCATCATATTGGCTCTTGAACACATCGAGGCCCAGAGGCCACTTGTAGGGCAATCTCCGCTGGATGGGCTGGCATCCATGCTGTCGACCAAAGAGCTCATCGGCCTGGAGAGAGTCGGGGTGAGTTCGAGGAGCGCTGATGGGAAATGGCACCAGAAAGCCCGGTTACATACTTCATACTGGCGACGTCTCCTCAGATAGAAAATAATCCACCAGGGCAGGGAGAGGGTGAGAACAAGGTGCCATAGCCTCAGATCAATGAGGTCCCATTGAATTGTGTCCATAGCGAATTTCGAAAAGAAACAATGTATGCACGGGAGGAGAAAGCTGTAGCTGAAGCGGCTCGAAGAAGATGGGGAGGATAGAGATATCGAAGAGACAGACAGACCCAACATTGCTCGGAGCTCTAAACAAAGAAGTCTCGTGTTTTGATTCCATGAGCTTCGTTGTTCCTGAGAAACATGGACCCTCAAAGCCAAAGGTCGGGCTGTCAACTCAATATCCCGTGGCTACTCTGCAATTTCCTGGTACTCGGAAACATCCGCACCGTTACCCTTGGGTCAGGCAGTGCATTCTTTGTAGTCTCTGTCTGTCTGTCTGTCTGCTTCCTTTCAATCCAAAGCATCAGACAGTATTCTCCTCATGAATTATCATGAGAGACTCAGGGGGGAGGAGGGCGATCAAATTTCTCTTTCTCCCCCTGATCGACCCATCAGAAAGCCATGATACAAATAATGTTTTAGCCATCGTATGCCTGCAAAGGGTTACAAACCAATGGGGGCAATTTAGCACCGCGGATGGAGGACTAGGGCTTGAAGGCAATGCTGGAATAGCCCAGTGACTGGACGGGTATCAGAGCCACCCACCGGGAAAAAGCAAAAGGAAAGCCTCGATGTTCGGTACACTTAAATCATAGTCTCAGGCCATCGCATAAGCCCTGTAGTTAACTAGTTGATGGTGATAATGAGATGACTAATCGCGTTGAAGACTTCGCGATGCCCCCCCTTAACTGCCACGACTACCTCATTGATATGTTGTCAGTGAAGGCGCTTGTTCCGAATATTCTCCAGAGCCCGATTGTCCTGCAGGAAAATCCATGGATCCCTTCTCGATTCTCGTTGGAAGTGCAGGACTGGCGGATGTCTCCTTTCGCATCATCTCCTATCTTGCCACGATCCGAAGCGCATCTGCCAAGATCCAGGATGAACTCACCATTCTGAGCCAGGAGATCTCATCACTGATTGCGGTCAACGAGACGGTCGAGAACTGCTGGCATTCCTGGCATGACCCGAATAGCTTCGACACCTCGGCCAACGACGAGGCTCATGTCACCGACGTCTAGAGGAATCTCGCCATGCTCTTGCAGCAAAGCAAAGGCCATGTCGAGCAGCTGGAAACCTTACTCAATGCAGTCATTGGCAGCAATGGCCCCCAGGTGGCTGGCAAGCTGGATGGGTTGAGGAAGACGATCCGAAAACAAGGCCGCGATGGGGAAATCATGCAGCTACGCCAGCGCATCGCCAATCATCAGGCTGGCATCCAGATCTTGTTGAATGCACTAACTCTGTGTGTCTCCAAAAGGCTGGCCCTTAACTCTAGAACCCCCCCCACCTTCCCCCCGCTGACTTGCTGCAGTGCCTCCACGCTCAAGTCGCATACCGCCAGGGACCGTGCCGTCGGCAACTTGTCCGAGAACCTGCGGCGTCAGAACACCAAAATGCAGATTAGGCTCAATAGCCTACGCCGGGAACTTCGAGGGGGACGCAATTCGGACAGTGTAGGTGATGTCATGGGATAGACTACCCTCGATATAGAACGTAGAATCACCTGCTTACTGAATCACTCACCAAATACTAGCTCTGCAGCTCGCTTGGGTGCGCCGACGCGGTAGCATCGTTGATCCGCTTCAACGAGCATTTCGACATGCCCCAGAATGTGAGCAGTTATTACACAGGCCGCCACAAGGAGCTAGAACAGTTGAAAGCGACGCTCAACGTCGGCCTCACCCCGGAACATCAAGGATATCAGAAGCGATTCGTCATTTATGGTCTTGGAGGTTCGGGAAAGACCCAATTTTGCTGCAAGTTCGCTTAGGACAATCGAGAGCAGTAAGTACTAGTCCTTGGCCGCGGTGAGAGAGGCATAGGACTTATCCCGAGAGTTCCCTTTTTCAGTTTCTGGGGTGTCTTCTGGGTCGATGGAAGCTCCTATGCAAACATCCAACACTCCTATGCGCGGATTGCCCGGATCGGCGGCGTGGAAGCGAACGAGAACGCAGCCAAAGCGTGGCTGTCCAGCTTACAGCAGCCCTGGCTCCTGCTCATTGACAATGCCGACGACCCCGAGATGGACGTGGTGCGCTGCCTTCCGGCCGGAGAACGAGGGGTGATACTGATCACCACGCGCAACCCGACCAGCAAGCAATACGGAACGGAAGGCTCTCGATTTTTCCACTTCGATCAACTCGAGACGCAGGAAGCGAGCGACCTCCTGCTGGCGGCCGCCGTCTGCCCGCGCCCCTGGGGGGTTGTCCACCAGACAATACGCCGACCGGATTGCCCAGATCTTGGGCTACTTGCCTCTGGCCCTGATTCACGCCGGGAAAGCCATCTTGGATCAGCTGTGCTCGCTGACCGACTATCCTGAGTACTATGAACGCACCTGGAATCGGGTCCGCCGGTCGCGAAGTACTCGGACTCGTTCGCGTGCACGCGAGGCGAATGACCATGGGGATGCATCCTCCAATCTGAGAGTGTATTCATCGTACGAGATGATCTACGTGGGCCTCGAATCCAGAAGCGATCAGCGATCTCGGGATGCGCTGGATCTGCTGAGGATGTTCTCCTTCTACTGGGAGAACATTGAGTATGATCTGGTCAGAGCCGCGGCCACAAACCCTCAGCAAGAACGAGAAGAGACTCAAGCGCGGCGCGAGCAGACGATTCAGCAACAGCAACCACTATCATCCCTGCTTCCGGGGCCCAGGGCTAGGACGTGGGCTTGGATAGCAGGACCTTACCAGTGGATCGCCACCATGGCCGACCGGCGGACCAGACCGAGTGCGACTCTGCCGGATCTCCTGCGCGACGAGGATGACCAGCCCTTCGACGAAGATCGGCTACGGGGCGCGCTGTCGCTCCTGGTTCGTCTGGGCATGGTGACCCTTCACGAGGAAAACAACAGTTATTGGATGCACCCGATGGTGCATACCTGGGTGCGACAGCGGCCCGAAACCAGCACCGCCGAGCAGGCCCTCTGGTGCCAAGCAGCCGCGACCGCTCTGGCGCAGTCGATCTGCTTCCACGCTCCACGGGGGTCCACGGCGCAGGATGAGAGGCATAAGCGCCAGGTCTATCCCCACGTGGAGCATGTGCGCAAGTGCCAAGCGGAGGTGGAGGCCCGGCTTGCCGAGAATCAGAGACGCGGGCGTCGGCCGTGGCACCAGACGATGTACCTCTGCCTTCTGCCTCCGCAACAAGGGTTAAGGAGGCCTCACCAGGCAGTAGAAGTCGCCAAGTTCAGCTTGGTCTACCTTCAGTGTGGGCAATATGCCCAAGCCGAGGAGCTGCAGCGTCAAGTTAAGGAGTACATCTTCGCCAGATCCGGTCCCGAGTCTGAACACGGGATCACGATTGCTCGGTTGCTGTCCAAGACCTACGCTCTGCAGACCCGCAATAACGAGGCAAGAGCCCTGCAATATCGGGTGCTGAACGCGGCCGTCCGCTTCTATGGTCCCGATCATCCCCTCACGTTGCAGATCATGGATGACCTTGGCGCCATTTGTCTGGCAGGCAGCCGGCTCCAGGAGGCTTATTGCCTCCACCAAGCAGTCGTCCGCAAGCTATCCCAGCTGGACGGGTTTGGACCCCAGCATGAGACGACGTGCGCGGCCGTCCAGAGCCTGGCCCATGTCGAACATCGGTATCTGGAGCATGAGAAGGCGTTCGAGCTGCAGTCTCGGGCCTACGAGGGACTGCGAAGGATCCTAGGCCCCACGCATCCCCAGACATTGGAGGCTCAAGATAACCTGGCGAGCAGCTACGGGTTTCTAGGCGAAGCGCACCTGCCCCTCGCGCTGCAGCTGAGCGAGGAGGTTCTGCAGATCCGCACCCAGACCCTGGGCCGGGAACACCCCTTGACCCTCCAATCGACACTCACCGTGGCCAAAATCCAGACCGCGATGGATCGGTTCGCAGAGGCCGAGCAATTGTTCCTCGACGGGCTGCCCGTCGCCGAGAGGAATCTGGGCCCGAACCACCTCGGGACCCTGGCGGCTCGGACGTGGCTCGGGCATCTGTACTGGCGTCAAGAACGACATTCGGAGGCGCAGGCCATCTGGATCGATGTCATCTCCAAACAGAGATATGAGCAGTCCAGGCGTGCGGATGGGGAACATACGGATCGCAGTAAGTGCATGCATGCTCTTTGTCTCTCTCTCTCCATGTCCCGAGATTCCCTCTCTGCTCTCAACCCTGATTATGGCCGCACAGTAACAAACCCTGCTCAATCCAGTCCAAGCCATGTGGTTTCTCCTCCACTCCTATGAGGATCAAGGGCGGGTGGATGATGCCCTACAGATCTCGGAGGAGATCACCCAGCTACTGTATGACTTTGGCGGAGAAGGTCTGGGCCCGAAGCACAAACTCTGGGGTCATCTGCAGAAGAAGAGGGAAAGTTTACTGCGGTGGAAGAGACTGGGCAGCAGGCCTGATGTTGATGGTGGTGGTGGTGGTGGTACCCCAGTTCGGCTGAAGAAGGTGGTGAAGGACTTTACCTTCTGACACCCTATCTTTTTGGAATAAAGGGTTTCAGTTGTGTGGTTAAGGAGTTTTGTACACTGCCAACAGAGTCTTGATGGTGATTACGAAGAGAAAAGAGTAGGATGGGTTGAGGATGCGTTCAGTGGGAGTCTGTGGAAAGGGCGCACATAAAGATACATTGGAAACTAGCTCAGTCAGTAGAATTAATTAGTAGTCGGTGCTGCCATGCTGTAGACCATTTCTCAATATGCGTCACACTCCTCTAGCCTCTCCAAAACAAGTGGATCCAGAAGTAGTCTACCCCGGATTCCGAAGAGCGTTTATGGATCCCCTGTGGCCATGGTCTGATGGTCAAAGCCATCTCAATGCTCTAAATCCGGAAGAACCCGGGCTTAAAACACTAAGATTCGGGAAGAACCGCAGTTTGAGTTGCAATTTGCCTAACTTAAGCGCGCCCGAGCGGCGCTTAGTCAGCTAGCTGAGCTGAGCTGAGCAGAGCTGTAGTTACCCGTTCAGGAAGGAAGCCATACGCTTAGCCGGCGGAAGAGAGAATAAGGAAATCGGCTTCATCATCCATGATCATCCTCAATCTCTCCAGGCTTCATCACGCATCGATACAATTCCAGCAAACCGACATCGGTGAAGATGATAGCATGCTGTCGCTGGCATGTGAAGATTCAAGGCAGGATGATAAGAGGCAAGTCTACTGCCCTGGCACTTTCCGTGTTAACCCGTCTTTGCCCTTTCCCTCTCCCCTCACAATTTCTCCTCACCGAGCGAGCCATTTCCCCCTCACTACTTCATCTCCAACTTTTTTTTTCTGTATCTTTCTTCCCCAATTATGCTGACCAACAAGTTTTAATTCAAGTGGTTCGAATGGAGATTAGACTACATGCCACTTGATTGACGGAGGAGACGAGCCAGTGCAACAACCAGAAATTACACAAAGCACCAAAAAAAAAAAAAACCTTGGCCCGCCGACCGGAGGGTTCGGAATCCACTTTTTCTTGCTGGTGCAGTGGAAGCTGACCAGCCACTGAAAAGGAATGAAAATTGCCTTCACTGCCAGATCGAGCAAATTTCCGCCTTGCGACAAATCCTCAAGTCCCAGTTTCCACTCTTCCCACTGTTCCCACCGACACACCGGCTCGCCCAAAACAGCTTAACCGTCATTGACCTCTTTATCGCATCAGTCATCCCAGTGAGTCGTGCTTTTGCCCAAATTTTTTCGGCTTTAGTCACTTTTGGCAGCCGCCTGTCTGACTGTTAGTTATCATCTTGTGAATCGCTTCTTCCTCTCTCTTGAATTCAAACTCAACCCAACCCACTCACAACTCCCCTCTCCACTCTCCCTTCCCTTCCTTTTTTACCCCCTTTGCCTTCTGGCTCAGGTGCGACAATGGTTGGAAGTACGCTGGCTATCCGGTCCAAGATGGCTTCCCCATCCGCCGCTATGCAGTTGTCGTCGCTGTCGCGCAGGTCGCTCTCGACGCGACCCCAGCTCCTCCGGTCCGCACGTCCCTTGAGATTCTCCCAGCAGCAGTTCCAGCGCTCCACCCGTCGCGCCTACGCCGATGCTTCTCAACCCGCATTGCCCGCCCCCAAGCCCAAGAAGCGCTTCGGGTTCTTGCGCTGGACCTGGCGCCTGACCTGGATGAGCTCCTTGGGTCTGGCTGGTTACCTGGCCTATAGCGTCTACGACTCGTGCCACCCTGTCGACCAGATCGAACCCGACCCGTCCAAGAAGACTCTGGTCATCCTGGGTAAGGCTTCTCGTTCCTTGGAGTGTCTTCGGCGCTCTTTAGTATGACGCGGTCGCTCGCGGTGGTCTAGCAGGAGCTAATAAGCATATCGTTCGACAGGCTCCGGATGGGGTTCCGTCTCCCTGCTGAAGAAGCTCGACACTGAGAACTACAATGTCGTCGTCATCTCGCCCCGCAACTACTTCCTGTTCACCCCTCTCCTCCCCTCCTGCACGACTGGACAGGTCGAGCACCGTTCCATCATGGAGCCCATCCGCAACATCCTCCGCCAGAAGAAGGCCCACGTCAAGTTCTACGAAGCCGAGGCCACCAAGATCGACTACGAGAGGCGCGTCATTTCCATCAGCGATGATTCCGAGATCAAGGGCGAGATCTCTCACACTGAGGTGCCTTTCGACATGCTGGTCGTGGGTGTCGGTGCGGAGAACGCTACTTTCGGTAGGTGATCCGGTCTGGGCCGCGCCGAGACAATAGAGACTGATGCGAAACAGGTATCAAGGGTGTGAAGGAGCACTCCTGCTTCCTGAAGGAGGTCGACGATGCTCAGAAGATCCGCAAGCGCATCATGGACTGCGTCGAGACTGCCATGTTCAAGGATCAGACCCCCGATGAGGTCAAGCGCCTGTTGCACATGGTGGTCGTTGGTGGTGGCCCGACCGGTGTCGAGTTCGCTGGTGAGCTGCAGGACTTCTTCGAGGAGGATCTGAAGAAGTGGGTCCCCGAGATCCAGGAGAACTTCCGCGTCACCCTGGTCGAGGCCCTGCCCAACGTCCTGCCCATGTTCTCCAAGCAGCTGATTGACTACACTGAGTCGACCTTCAAGGAGGAGAAGATCACCATTCGCGCCAAGACCATGGTCAAGAACGTCACCGATAAGTTCATCGAGGCCGAGGTCACCAACCCCGACGGCACCAAGACCCTGGAGAAGATTCCCTACGGTCTGCTCGTCTGGGCCACCGGTAATGCTGTCCGCCCTGTTGTTCGCGACTTGATGAGCCAGTTGCCCGCTCAGAAGAACTCCCGCCGCGGTTTGGCTGTGAACGAGTACCTCGTCGTGAACGGCGCCGAGAACGTCTGGGCTGTCGGTGACTGCGCGATCACCAACTATGCTCCTACTGCCCAGGTTGCCAGTCAGGAGGGTGCCTTCCTCGCCCGCCTGTTCAACACCATGGCCAAGACTGAGAACGTCGAGGCTGAGCTGAAGCAGCTGTCTGAGGCCCAGGCCACGGCCAAGAGCGACGAGGAGCGCAACCAGATCTTCGACGAGATCCGCGAGCGTCAGAAGCAGTTGCGGAGAACCAAGCAGATTGGTCCCTTCCAGTACTCTCACCAGGGCAGTCTGGCCTACATTGGTAAGGAGCGTGCTGTTGCCGACATCAGCTGGCTGAGCGGCAACATTGCCAGTGGTGGTACCATGACCTACCTCTTCTGGCGCAGTGCTTATCTGAGCATGTGCTTCAGCAGTAAGTGTCCTTGTGTCGAAAATTATTTGATCTGTTCTGACCCATATCTAGCTCGTAACCGTGTCCTGGTCGCTATGGACTGGATCAAGGCCAAGACTTTTGGCCGTGACGTGTCTCGGGAGTAAATCCGCCGGCATTAGACTACAGTGTATTACTATCAGCAGACATGCTACGCCTATGAACATTTTACAGCGAGGAACTTGCTCTTTCTAATACCGCCCTTTGTTTCTCTCGCACTCACCTTTCCCTTGACGCCCTTTATATGACTACTCGTCGACTCGACTGTCAACCGCTTACTGCAAGCAATGCCCCTCGGCTCTGGTGGCTTCGAACATCGGGGACGAGACTTGCACGAATGATGCAAGGGATCTTCATCCACCGGGGCAAAAGTACTATCTGATATCTTTTCATTTGTCTCTCTTATTTGTGTACGGAACGATAGACCGGGTTCGGGTTACTGTTTAGATATGCTAGAATTGGCCATGTCGGATTTTCCTGTCTGATGTATACTGTACACTGGATCTTATTTTGCTTAATATATCCACCTGTTCAATTAGTGGTTTGTTGATTGTATGTCTCTGTTGTAGATTCAGGCTGGAAGTGCTGGCCACAAGCGGTTGCGTGTTGATTATATATTTCGTTGTCTATGGACTGAGGCAGAGGCTCGTTCGAAAACGTGTTACTGGTAGGAGCTGGAGCTGACATCGATCTTCATAATCTCAATTCACATGAGTGAGGTGGGCTGCTATCGGGATCAATCTTGAAAAACATGACCAGGGGTCCCGGGTCGAGGTCCTGTCTGGTAGTTCTTTCTACTGAAGACAGGGCTTCTTTCTCACACCGCCAATACTACCGTACCGTAATGAGGAATCGAGAACACCAAAAAGACACGAAAAAAGAAAGCGTCCAGGGAGAGGATCGAACTCTCAACCTCACGATTAACAGTCGTACGCGCTAACCAATTGCGCCACCCAGACGTGTTCCTTGAGATGGCTGTGTTGCTGGTGGTATATGACCTAACAATGATATGAGTCTTCAAGTGCGAAACAATGAACGCATTGCATTCGCTAGCCATTATCCGCAGGTAAGAGATATCATGCCTACAGTTCTTCTCGGCAATCACAGTAATGCTCATATAAATTCTTGGTTTGCTCACCGCTTAGGAAGTTTGCAGTCTGGCTTCGAGTCCTCCGTCACTGGGGCCAGAAATGCATTGATGCCTGCCTGCGCAAGACGTTTTTCTTTCTTTCTTTTTCCCCAAGGAAGAAATGCCGACACTCGGTATAGTTAGATCCAATGTTCTCGGGCGGTACGCTAACGGAAAGCTTAACACAGCGTAGCGTAGCCAATGAGGTAGAGAATGGTTTTCTACACAAGTCGCTGTTGTAAATCCACCCTATATTTCACCGAACAAACCATCTAAGCTATATATCTACCTCGGCTGTGTCATCCTGGGCAGGTTTAGGGATACTTTCCACCGCTTAAGCTATCTGTACCATGGTTGTCTTTCTCAAGATCAGGTGCGCTATTCTTTCTCCTTTGAGATATATTCTTTTGTTTCGTCTAGCGCCGTAGATGTGTGATGTGCCGGACCATAGCGCCGGGTTCTGATGGACACTCTAATTCTGCTCCACTCACAAGAGTTGCTTCAATGAAGACTTTCGCCGGTTGAAGTTTTGTATGTTTGCAATCCTAGAATGCAGATGTTAGCAAATATTCCTACCGACCTGGATTCCTCAACCGCAAGACTCCAACGAAGGCACAAGCGCAGGCAGGAGACATTAATCGGCGTTCTCCTTACCCTAACAAAGCCACGATCATTCACCACAACCACTCTTCCACAGCTACCGTAAGATCCCGCTTCACACACAAGTCTTCAAAAACAAGCCTTGACCAAAACAAAGCCATAGCCAGAACATCTCCGACACATCCCCTCAACCAACAAGCACCCACCCCAGATCCCGAAGGATATAAGTACTCGCATCCATCCAGACCCAGCCCACCCATCTTCCTCCTCGTAGCAATCCCCTCGCCCTGCTGACCCCGACCCCGCATCGTAAGATCGTAGACTCGAGTCATCAGACCAATTCGAAATGCCCTCTAAGAAGAACAGAGGAAAAAGAGGAGGAAACAGGACCCAACCCCAACCCGAGCCCCACGCTCACCCCAACCCCGACCCCTACCCTGCCCCCCGCAAAATTCCCCTCCTCGAGGCCCGCGACAGCCTCATCGACCGCCTCCGCCTCCACCTCGAGCAGCACAACCACCCCGGCATCGTCGGCGCCGGCCCGCCCCCGCTCCAGCACGCGCTGTGCATCAGCTGCATCGGCGGCGCCGAAGCCCGCGCCTGCCTCGACCTCATCCAGGTCTTCGCCTACGCCCAGACCCCGACCCAGCCGGACGACACCGGCAGCGCCGCCCTCAAGCCCGGCGACCACTGCCTCGGCCTGTGGCACACGCCCGCCCACCACCGCAAGTTCCTGCTGGAGCACGGGGCGTCGCTGTTCCCGGCGGGGTGGCTGACGCGGCCGTCGATCTCGCGCGGCGGCGGGTGGTTCGTGGTGGATGGGCATCGGCTCTGCGTGGAGGTGATGGAGGCGGTGATCATGCCGTTCGAGAGGGGCCGGTATGCGGCCGTCCGGCTGGACGTGCCGAGGGAGATGGAGCAGTGGGGGCTCGGGGTTTGGGGCGGCGGCGGCGGTGATGGTGGGGTTGGTGAGGGTTGTGAGGAGGGGGCTCTGCGGGCTTGGGCTTGTCTTTGATGAACCCAACCCGGGCTTTTGGGGTTGCTATAACCAACCCCTGGAGATTATGTTTCTTAGGCCCTATCTTTGATAGGTTGAATATTATTGATTTGAAATGCTGGTTGTGCTGTGTGCTGTAAATTATAAGTTGTTTTGTGAGGCGGTGTTTGTTTGGGAAGTTCGGAGGAGTTAGGGCTATTATTTATGTGTTGGGTAAGAGATTCTCGTTGGCAGGGTTGGGAAGCGGGAATACATTCCTGATGGATACACCTTTTTTATAATGGATTATACTTCTTATAACTTGTAATCGGACGGATCCTTTGTATCTTGGAAATATGCTTCTGTGAAATCATCCTCACACTAGATGGAAAGTGCTCCAGAGGCCGTAGATCTTACAAGGCTCGAGGAGATAATTGAAACGGTGAAACAATCATCAATCAATGGATGGTCGAAAGGCAGAAATTGATGAGAGGACGACGGGCAGAACCTTTTATGGAAGGTGAAATTCTAACAGGATTCGAATGCGGCTTTGTTGGACAGATGCAGATCGGCCAGGATAATCGCGTCGAGCTCAGCTGCGGCGAAGGTAAAGTATCCCTGCTTCTATCCAATCCCTGGGACGGGCTGTTAGTTGGTGTTGGTTAGACGCTTGGAGGCAAAGGTTGACACACGTACCCCAGCAGCAAACACAATGCCACCTGACACTCTGCTGCTTAAAAACCGCATTCAGGCGAGTGAATCAGGAGACGAACAGAAGGAATCACAGTCAAATGAGAGTCCAGGATGATGATGCGAGTATTCATACAAGAGAGGAGGAAAGAATGTCGGACCAAACGAACCACTAGCGCTACTTTTACTTACCAACTGCGCGAACTATACTTACTATACTAGGTATTTAGACTACTTCAATAAGCTGGCCAAGGCTGCCAACTTGGGAGAATGGTTTAAAAATAAATAAGAAAGTACAGGTGATGAGAGCAGAGGCATAAGAACTACACAGGGTGAATAAAGGCAATACGCCAGGATTGATCTCTGTTCACACTGTATGTTTTAAGTATTACATCAGTCAAACTAAATTGCCACGGGCTGAGAGAGGTAAGTTGCAAAACAAAGAGAGGCGCACTAAGATGGACAAGCCCAAATCTCTATCGCTCAGCCTACGAGGACCAATGTTCCAACTCCGAGGTACACTGATATATAGCCTATACAGTGATTTGGTTCTTCTGCAACATAAGCAGCGACGTCAACGCCTGACCCCCCGCAAGTCCAGCCAAGGTCTTCATTTGCAGGTTGTAACTGGCCGAGAACGTGCCTCGCACAAGGCTCTGTTCAGCCTGCGGTAGAGCGGAAAGCACCTCCGCGGAGTTCAGGATAGACTGCATCTGGGCTGCATCTAGGGAGTGCTTGAGATGGGACTGGAGGTAGCCGTTGGCCACCGCAGTCAAAATGGAAATCCCGATGCAGCCACCCATCACTCGAAACTGCGCAATCGCTCTCATAGCCACCGCTATTACCCAGGAGAACAAATAATCATCATTAGCGAACATGGACAATTGGACCATGTATCAGGGGCTCTACTAACCACTGTCTCTTTTCTCGATGATGAATGGTGTCATTAGAATTAGTAGAGTGAGATTGACACCACATCCGAAGCCGGCCAGAATCTGGTATCCGTACTGCGCAGCAGGGATGGACAGAGACTCGGGCATGATTCCCAGGAGTACGTAGCTGACTACCTGGAGCACTGATGCGGACAGCACAAGGTAGATCAGCGGTACCTTGAGTAATTTGCCTTATGCAGGTGCTGCGACAGAGGCCACCGGTGTGGCAACGGTAAAGGGGATGAACCGGACAGCCGCTTGGAGAGGTGTAAGCTGGTTCACGATCTGGAAGCGTTGCGGCAACTGGAACATGGTGCTAAACCACACTACACCCAGACAAATAGGAATTTCTTTTGCGACGTGGGCCATGAGTTAGCTGGAAAAGAACATGAGGGGGAGATGGCGGCGGAGAGAACTTACAACAGCATCCCCATCCATACTCGGTTCCGGAGAAATCTCCATGGGGATACCGGCTCGATGCACTCAGATGAAAGCGTGACTCGCCTTTCCCACAGCAGGAAAGCGATCCACATCAGCCCAGAGATGGTTAGAAGGGCTATGGTAAACGCCGAACTCCAATGGAACTCCTGGTTGGCTTCCTCTAGAGCAGTTACCAGAAAGATAGTAGCCACGAGGAGCATACTGGAGCCGAGCATGTCGACTTTTCGGATCGTTTGGCGTAAGGAGGCCCAAAGCGAGAATGCATTCTTGGCCATGGGCTGCTCGTTGTGATGGGGGAAACGATTCGGCAGGACAATAGCGAGTCCGATCCCGGCCAGAGCGCCCGGAGGAACATTCAAAAGAAACACCCAGCGCCACGTTGACGACCCCGATATAGCACCTCCCATCAGAGGTCCACATAGCAGAGATACTGCGTACACAATAGAGAGTGAACTCATGTACGTCGCAACTTCTCCGGTGGAACCAAGTCCAAGATAATAGCTGCACAGATAGAATAGTTGCTGGCTCCGCCAATCCCCTGGAACGAGCGGAAGACGATACTGCAGCATGGTGGGCATTGTGGGTCAGCTGGCCAGTAAATGAAGCATAAGTGATATAGATGGTGGGCGCATGGTCACCTACAGCTGCTCCATGGTTTGGGCAGCGCCACACGCCCCTGAGAAGACCACGAAGAGGAAGATAGCGACCAGCAAACTTGACTTGCGGCCAAAGACGTCACTAAATTTGGCAGAAATATTAAAGAAGGCCAGCATATCCAAACATGTAAGCCGTTGTAATTCAATAGATCTTGTTCAAGCCCCCAAGTTCTTCGGTGATGCTGATCAAGGCGATCGTAACAATAGGAATTTCAAGAATGGTCAAGAACAGATACAGGGCGAGACTGATTCATCAGAAGAATGTATCGGCAAGACAAATGGTTTTAGATCACGTACGCAGCAGTAGTGAGATGAAGTCTTGCTCCCTGAATGTAGGATTGAGGGCGATTGTCAGCCACAATATCTTCCTTGGACTCTGCCATGTTGACCGAAGCACTGATTTTCGGGTCTATCTTTGTGGTATCCGACAAAGTCATGATTTCTGCTGGGAAGAAAAATGTTGACAGGCACTTTCGAGAAGTTATGAGAGTTTGAAACCCTCCTTTGTAGCATGCAGGCACAGCCTCGAATTGTGACAAGGTTTTGAAATGAACACACATATAGTGCAGAAGAAAGCTCGTCTCTTTATATGCAATGCACTCAGGGGTTGTAGTGTGCTTGCCTGGACGACTTTGCAGGGGTACTTGTTGAGCAAAAAATTGACAGAGGCAATTCTACATATTCGACGGCTAGTGCTTCAAGATGATTCCTAAATTTTTCAATTTCACAACAATAGTATAGATTTACTATTCAAGAACTCAACAAAAGACTTGAAACATGCTCACTTTGAGCACCGAACATCGTGAAGCACTTCTCGGTGGTCCAGCTGGGGCTCCTCCTCCCGGCAAAGTGTCGAACTTGATAGACTCTCCAAACATGCATATGGTCGGGCACGCTGTGCATCTGGTCCTCTAAATTACAGCTTTCATTTGCTTTGCTGTCCGTTTGTATACAAAAGCCTTTCTAGCTCGACATATCAGGTTGTCTGACTGTGAGCTTTCGCTCTGAGATGCGCTTACACGTTCGAGAAAATGACAAAAGGTAGACATGATGATGCTTGCTTGGGCATGTCAACTGCCATCACCATGAACCTGTTAGCTAAAAACAGACTATGGCCTAGGAATCGACCAGTAGAATATCTCCTTAAGGATTTTATCCAAAAGCTATATGAGATTGACAGGCGGTGAGGCCCACCCAATCGATATTCCTAAACATCATTCGCAAGCGCTTCAGGCACTATCGACCCAACAGTTGGTGGGCGTGTGTGAGTGGCAAGGATTGCTGGTCCGGACCCTTGTTCAGTTGCGGAGGAAGCAGCTAACCGCCGATCCCAATTCACTCCCACCACTCAGCCACAATGCGGCGAAATGCAGGATTTTGTCTACGGCATTACATGTTTTCTCGCAATGCCTGATGTTCGTGTAGCATAACTTGACATATAAACTATCGAGGAGTCTTGACTATCAAGCTTTTATCACTAGAAATTAGACCTGGGCGCGACTTGCCGGCGTCGTCGGATCTGGCCGACGAACCGGCCGCTGGTACCCTTCAGCATTACTATATCAAACATTGATAAACGGCTACGGGTATTTACCACACGGGAAGCCTTTGAGCGGTCGGCCGGTAGAGGATGGTGATGATGATAATGATGATAGTGATTTATTTTGGGGCGCGGCTTATACTGCACCAGAGGCGACGAGCGACGAGCGGGACGTCGCGCAGTCGATCTTGGACCCTGCGTTGTTGGAGGTATACGAGGCTTTGATCCGAGACTCTTCCAGTAGTGATAACTTGTTCCTCAGAGTTGGGCCTTGATAGAGGAATATCATGAAGGGTGAAGGCTGTAAAAGCCGGCATTTAAGAGTAATCCAGGTTTTTGAATTAATTTTAATCCGTGTAGTATCGTTAATGGTTCGATTCTTTATTGAATTAAGTCATAATAATCAGATCTCAAGATAATAAATCAATATTGAAATCAATATACCCTCAACATACTGTTTCTAACAGCTATACACGCAATCTACAAAGCTAAGATACCCTTAGCTGGGTATACCCATCACCAAGCTTCCCAATTTCAAGTCCTGCACTCCGCCCCTGGAACCAAGATCCTGAACGACCCAAAGTCTCAGAGCCGACCACCGCTCGCCTCCTTCAGAACCGTCTTCCACTCAATATCATGGACATCATCCGCATGGATCGAAATCTTGATATCAAGGGCCCTTCGCAGCTGCTCTTTGCTCGAAGCATAGAGCATCCGGCGCTATCCAGACCATCAGTTGCCTCCGCTAGCCCCAAAAACAAAAACAAGGTTATGAGAAGACTCACCCGCATCGGCGTGGCATCCGGCATCCAGCTTATGAACACCGTTGTTGCTCTGCGTGGACACAAACCCTTAACAAGTGAACTTTCTTGGATGCCTGTGTCCTCCTCGAGAAACATCATTCTAATACGTACCTGCGACCATCCTCATTCAAGTCGTACTCCACATCGTAGACCGCATAGCGAGGTGCCTGGTGGCCTTCCCCGTCAATCGCCGAGGCGAGCTTCCCAAGGAACGCTTCGTAGCTTGTCTCGGACGACCGCTCGTCCACGATGATCGACCGCTCGTCGTCGGAGATCTTATACAGAACGAACTTGGGCTTGCGGGGCCCTCGCGTGAAGAGCAGCTCTCTGTATGCGGCTATGCATTCATCCGCGATGAGCACGCTGTCGGGGGGATTGTGGTCAATTTTTGCTCATCAGAGCAAGGGTGGGTTTTGAGACGGGCATACCCTGATGGAGTCTGGGAATCTCGTGGAGATGGTTAGTGGTCGAGATACCTGATTGAGGGTGAGATTGGACTGACCGACATGCTTGCTGTGCAACAGAAACTAAATTCTATTGAAAGTGGAAATTGGCAGGGACATACCTACCTACCCCCTCAAATATGATTGACTGGTGCGATGTAGAGGTCGGGCTGTCGGGTCCATGGTCCCGGACGCCAAGGCCTTGGTGGTGTAGGGCTTGCTGGGCTTGGCGGACTTGGCAAGCACCGGGCCGCCGGAGTGCCGGAGCCGCGGGACCGTGGGCCCAAAATTCAAAAAAACTGTCATTGATGCAACACAGGAGATCTGTCTTGTCACTGAAACCAAATCATCGCCATGTCATCAGTCGGTGCAGAGGAAACCATCCAAGCTAGACGTCATCGACTCGCGCAAGTCCCCAGGGCGGTAAGGATCCCGGTCGAGAGTGTCTCTTTCTCGCATGGCTAATGATATGTGGGAGCGCTCAGTGCGAAGGGTGTAAGATACGCAAGGTACGTGGTGTCTCTACACCAATAATTCTATCGGATCATGTAAGCTAAGGAGGATGCATCCAGATCCGGTGTGACCGCAGCACCCCATGTACAAACTGTCAAGCATCGAAGATCACATGTCGGCATCCGAACGACCGATCACGAACAGAGCGCCAAGCCGATAAGATAGCGAACCTGTATGTATGGCAAGAAGCCGAAACCCCAAGTATCTGGCAGCCATACTCACAACTGCCCACTTTTAGCGAAGCAGTCGTAGATCGGCTGGATAGACGTTGTCGTGAGGTCGAGTCGAGACTTGTGGCTTTGGAATCCGCGCGATTAGCCCCACTGGCGGAGCGTGAGGCTGATCCGAGGATCTCATCTGTCGAGCCCGGCCCTGTCGGAGGCCGCCTCTTCGAAGGAGATTCATCGTTCGCAAGTCAGTCACTGCAGATGACCGAGAGTGCGCAGGACGCAGCCCTCTCCGCCTCTGCAGGCGATGATCCAGCTATTCATCACGCATTTGCTCGACTGCGGGGATCTCTCCACGACTCACATGAGGTATCCAGAGATAAATTCCATTTCAGAAAGTCCGTCTCCCAATCACCGCCACCGGTGAAGCCTCTTCCAGCGCCGCTGGTGAATAGTCTACTGCGGAGAATGAGGGGTACGACGCCTCTTCCTCTGACACGCTGTACTTTGGTGTAAAACAGCCTTGCGCACTAACTTGACCTGCAGTCCGTCGTCCCATTTTCCTGTCCTCGTATGCTATCAGTGACTTGCACGTGCTTGAGGATCTCTGCCACGGCGTCTATGCTACCAGTGCGCCGTCTGCCGGTCAGATTGCCAGTACCCATGGAGTCTTCCTCTTTGTGTCGAAGGAGTATGTCGCCATGAACGACGACCTCGGCCAGCGGGTCGATCTCAACGCACATCTCCATGAATGCGAGCACATATTCGTCGCAGCGCTGGAGCATTACGAGGTGCTTGTCATTCCAAGCTTCGAAAACATTCTTGCTCTGACGATGGGCGTGAGTGACCCGATTATATCTCTATCTTCCCTCTAAGCTCTTCGCCCGAGTTTTCACACTAACCATTAACCTCAAAACCAGATGATCAAAGCCCAAGGCGAAGCCAAACCATCCCTATACTGGACACTCGCGTGCGCCGCCGCAGCCCAGTGCCAATCCCTCGGGTACCACCGAGAAGCCAGCTATCGCAAAATTCCGTCCGGCAAGGCGGACAGCATCCGGCGGCTGTTCTGGACGGTGTACTGCTTTGACAAGAACATGTCCCTGTTGCTGGGCCGGGTTTCTAGCCTGCACGGGCTCACCATCGACACGCGCTACCCATCCACGGCCACAGATCAGGCGCTGCGGCCGTGGGACGAGTCTTTCATCATGGGGATCCGATTGGCCGAGCTACAGGACCGGGTGCTTACGGGCCTTTACTCTCCTGGGACGGCGATCAAGGATTCGTCCGAACGGGCCCGTCTTGTCCGTGACCTGGCAGCTGCTATGGACGAGTGGCGTGTCGAGTTTACGCAGGTGAGCAGCGAGACTTTTACCTGTGATATGCACACCAGCGAAAAAGGGCTAACAGCGTGCAGATCAACGCAGAGGCCGTCAACAACCCGCAGGTCTTCCACCTATCCCGCGGCAACTGGGACATGGCATACTATTCGACCTTGACGCTGCTGTACCACGCCTCCTCCACCACAGAGACGGGCCTCTATATCAGCTCGCAATGCGTGCACGCCGCCCGCAGTAGCTTGCAGGCTCATCTCCAATGCTTCCCGCAGTATCAGGAATCGCGTCTTCTCTCGGAAGGGGAATACATCAACTGGTTTGTCCCCCGCCCCCAAAGTCTCCGCTTCCCCTTCCAACTCCAATCATCCTCCCCTTCACAACCCCATAGACTAAACAAATCCACTAGGATCCTCCTCTACTCCTCCTTCACCCCCTTCCTCGTCATCTTCCTCCACGCGATCGCCGCCAAAGATCCGGAGAGCGCCGCCCTCCTCCTCCGCGTAGTCGGCACGCTGGAGAATCTCCGGTCCCCATCCTCCCAGCAGACCCCGGGCGCGGAGCGTCTGTATCAAATCTGCGCGACCTTCGCGCAACTAGCCCAAAAGCTAGTCGAGTCCCCAGCCTTCGCCGGAGGGGTAGGTAACCCGTCGGGGGATCCGCCCCGGTTGACGAATGAGGATGTGGCTGTGGGCGACGACGGCGCGGGCTTCGGGTTCCCGACGGAGACCTTTGAGGAGGTTTTCGAGGATGTGGACTTCAATCCCCGGGGGGATTTGTTGAGTGAGTGGATGGGTGGGCAGCCGTTTTTGGGGAATTGGGTTGATCTTTAGGGGCGCTTACTCTAAGGGTGTGGTTCCAGTGGTGATCTAGTTATTATGTTCGGTGCTTTCCAGTGTAATGCCGAATCTTCGAGCGCATCTGCCACCGTGCAGACAGAGTGTTGTGTATATCCAGCCAATCCCTTTATTGCCAAGCAACATCTGGAACCCATTTCACAGACCGGAATAATCTATACTTTTCACCCTCATAACAATGCCCTAAGATACATTCCAAATGAGCAAACAATTTCCATCCATCCACGAATCAGCCCCCCAAACAGCACCTACAACCCACAAACAACTCCCCACATCTCATCCCCCTCCAACGCCCGCATATCCTCCTCCCTCAACATAACCACGACCTCCACCGACTCCCCTTTCACCTCTTCCACCACCTCTTGACCCTTGGCCCACCTCCTAGGCATAACCACCACCACCCCATCCGCCCCCTCCACAACCGGCATCCTCACAAACCCCACCCCTCCCAGCCCCCCTCCAAACCCCACCTCATAAATCCCCGTCCCCGCCCAACTCGTAACCGTCACATCCCTACCCCCAAAGATATCCCACCCGGGATACAGTCCCCGATAATCCATTCCCCCAACAAGACAGCACACTTCAGCAATAAACCGCTCCCCAATCTGCGCCGCAGCCTGGGACTGCGTGATGCAATCGCAGATACCCGCTAGCTCCCGTACGGGGTCCATATCAGCGGCAGCCAGTGCGGGAGCAGGGTACCGGGCTGTGGCGTAGAGGACGAGATTTCCCAAATACCGTGGTGCGAGGCTGGGGAGGCGGTTGCGGCCGTTGACGGCCGTTGTGAGAGTGCTGTTACTGTTCTGGGTGAGGAGGCGTGGGTTGCGGTGGGCGCGGACGCGGACACGGGTGATTGTTGTCCAGAGGAGGGCGGTGAGGAGGGTGTTGATTGTGAGGGTTTGGGAGGTGTATTTCTGGCATAGGGTGCGGAGGGTGCGGAGGTGGTGGAGGCTCAGGCTGAAGAGTTGGGAGGTGCAGGGTTTGAAGTCCCCGGGGAGAGAGGGTGGGGTTGTCGAGAATTCGGGGTGGGAGGGGAGGAGGGCATTTGGGTTGGTGGACTGGGATGAGGAGAGGGCTTGGATGGTTGGGGCCAGGGCGTGAGACAGTTGGGCTTGTCGATTGGACTGGGGAAGGTTGGGGAGCAGCGCATCACCGGTGGTGGTGGTGGTGGTGGTGGTGGTGGTGGTGGTGGTGGTGGTGGTGGCTTGCGCCCACAATCGGACGACCTCGGCGAACCCGGTGGCGTCGACGGTGTGGTGATGCAGGCAGATACACAGCCCTATGCCGCGGTCGATGAAGCGGAAGACGCTGGCAGCGAAGACGGGGATGCCGTGCTCCATATCCTCCGAAAGCATGGCTGGCACAGGCCACACATACCCCGGGATGGCTTCCGGGGGCATGTTTTGCGCAGACAGAGTCGCGTAGGATGCTGCGATTGTGCCCTTGTCTTCCAGCGTTGGGGTGTCTCCTGTGTGCGAGCGGATCTCAAGGGATGGTCGGCCGGAGTCGTCAGTGGTGGGGTAGATCCGTCCTGACAGCCAGGGGACTTGTTTAGATAGTTCCTCGAGGCCGTTTTGGAGGGTGTGCAGGGTGTTTAGGGTTGAGTCTGCTTCGGGGCCGGGGAATGCCAGAAGGACCCGAATGTAGGTGTTTGGCATTGCCAGGTCCAGCGGAGTCAGCTGCTCGAGATGGTCGTGCTCAGTCATGATCGATGGTCTGGAAGAAACATAGGATGATTCTGAGAGGTTGAGCTGAAGGTATGTCAAGTAGCAGTGTCCGTCTTATACGAGTTGATTCGACCCCTAAACCGGCCCCACGGGCCCGAACGCCCGTTCAGCCGGCACAGCCAACTGGCCACGATACCTCATCACGCTCAATAGACGAGTAATTTATACTCTAAATTCGAGAAGGGTGTCGATGAAGCAACTCTCTGGCTGTTACAGAGAAAATTGATCTCAATGCTGAACGCAAATTCCGAGAAAAGAATTGGTATTCCCCGGTGAGATGCAAGGTGAAGGTGCCCTATAATCATATTCTTCCCTTTGCTGTTTGTGTTCATGTCGGGCGCAGAGCAAACTAGGGGAGAATTCGAACCAAATGTCATCCGGATAGTGCAGTGATCTCCTTCATCTGAAGAATGCACTGTAGGAGATTTTGTTCGGCTTTAAAGATGTAATATGTCCAGCGACATCATCCTGCTACTCAAGCCACGGCCACGAATCTAGCCCACAAGCCAGTCATCCTCGCCAACGGCCTGTATATAAAGTGT